TTACAATTCGAAACTTTTCAAGATGCTAACACATTTTTAAACAACAAATCTCTTCATGTTAATAATTACAAATCATTTATTCCTGCCTTCACTATCACCCGCATGGGAATAGTGAGAGGTGTTCCATGTGAATGGGACGAGAAAGACATTTTAGAAAATATTGAGCTTCCGCAGAACTGTGGAAGCATTTTAAAGGTTCGAAGACTAAACAGAAAGGTGTATGAAGGTGAGACTCCCAAGTTTATTCCGACAGAGACCGTAGTTTTAACCTTTGATGGGAAAGTATTACCTCCCAGGGTCTTTATGTGTTATAACTCCTTACCCGTAGAACTTTATATTTACCCCACATTGCAATGTTTTAATTGCTGCCGTTTTGGTCACACCAAAATGCAATGCAGAGGCACTCCAAGGTGTTACAAATGTGGTGACAACCATACAAGTACAAGCTGCAAGACTGAAAGAGATGATGCTGTGTGCATCTTATGTTCTGGTTCCCATTTTGCAACAGATAAAAAGTGCCCAGAGTACGCTAGGCAAAAATCAATTAAAGAAACAATGGCTAGAAAGGCTATATCTTATTCAGAAGCCAGTAAAGCCAATCCACCAGTTTCTAAATCTTATGCAGACGTTGTTGCTTCTGCTTCATCGGCCCCTTCTGGTCCGAATATTAAGTATTCCAGCCCCTATAATGTAACAAGTCCTTCTAACACTCCCACTCAGTCATTTAGGAAAACAATTTTCATGAAACCCAAAACTCGTCCCAGAAATGTTAGTAAGGGATATGATCAAAAAGCACATGCAGAGCTTATTCAAGATTATAGCAATATTCCTTCCTTTTCTACAGGTTGTCTTAAAAACTACAATGATTTGTCAGAAGTAATAACCAAGGATCTCATCATTTCTATAATTCAGTACCTGTCACAATCTGACATAATTAAAATACCGACCAACGATGCCCCTTCTTCAAAAACTTATTTAAATCATGGACAGTCACACAGACCATCCACAAAACCAGTCTCTGGTGATTCAGTGGAATTGCCGGAGCATTAATAGTAAAAAAAGTGACCTCATTTATTTATTAAACAATTACAAACCTTTTGCCGTCTCTCTTCAAGAGACTTGGCTTCGTCCCGGATTCAATTTTAGAATTCCAGGACATATCTGTCTTAGAGAAGACAGAACAGATGGGTATGGTGGAGTTGCACTAATTCTTAGAGGAGGTGTGCCCTTTGTTCACATACCCATCATTAATCACAGTGATAAATTTTCCATTATTGCTGCTAGTGTAAATAATATTTGTATTGTAAATATGTATATACCTCACCCTTCCACTGAAGTTTTTGACGATATTTGTAACATTCTATCTTCCCTCCCGCGCCCTATTTTGGTCATGGGAGATTTCAATGCACAACATACTATGTGGGAAGTTCTAAGTCCGATCATTATGGGGCTAGAATCTTAGACATCTTAGATAATAATAATTTATGCCTTCTAAACTCCGGTTGTCCTACTAGAAGGACACAGCCCCATGAGGGTATGAGTGCACCAGACCTTACCCTATGTAGTCCTTCCCTTGCTCCTACATTAAACTGGTGGCCTCTATCTTCTTCATATGGAAGCGATCACTTCCCACTAATTATATCATTTCCCCAAAAAATTGGAGAACAAACATCAAAGGCTCCTCCACGGCTAAAATATAGACTTAAGGATGCCAACTGGTCATTATTTAGAGATAAAGCTCAACAAAATTTATCATCCATACCTCTAGTAAATGACAGCAATAATCATCTTTGTGCTGAAGCTTTTACACGGGCCCTACTTCAGGCTGCTGATGAAGTTTTTCCAATTAAAAGTAATAGTGGCAATGGTTATATTCCATCACCTCCTTGGTGGGACAGTGAGTGTTCTGCTGCTATAGCTGAGAGAAAGAGAGCTGAAGGAAATTACAGGAAAAATTCTACAACACAAAATTTTAATATTCTTAGCAATCTTATAACTAAAACACGTAAATTATTAAAACAAAAAAGATTCAATGGCTGGAAATCTTTTTGTGCCTCAATTTCACCAGACATTTCTCCATCTGAAGTTTGGCAAAATATTCGGAGATTCAGATCCGCCTTTAAACCTCCAAAGTCTCATTTTATGGATAGCAGTACAGTTGATTTGTTTCTTGACAAATTAGCTCCACCATATGTCCCATCTATAGATAATATTTCTTTTGACTCTCAGCCTTCTCTCCTCTCCCAGCATAATAGCAATTCACTCATTTCCTTTAGCCTTTCAGAACTCAAAGGGGTTCTTTCAAAACTTAGGGACTCAGCCCCAGGTTGTGATGGAATTCCATATTCTTTTCTTCAAAACCTAAATGACTCCTGCCTTTCTTATTTTCTCAGTTTAATTAATTCAATCTTAACATCTGGTAATATACCTCCGTCATGGAAAATTCACGAAGTTATACCAATACATAAGCCCAACAAACCGATTAATGACCCATCATCATACAGACCAATAGCATTAGCTTCAGTTATCTCCAAAATTTCTGAACATTTAGTTAAGAATAGACTAGAATGGTTTGTTGAGAGTAAAGGATTACTATCTCCAAACCAGTTTGGATTTAGGAAAGGCAGGTGTACTATGGATAGTCTCAGTATTTTTATGACAGACTTAAGATTAGCATTTTCATACAATAAGCCTGTGTTAGCAGCATTCTTAGATGTGTCTGCAGCCTATGATAATGTCAACCTTTCAACTCTGAAACAAAAAATGATTAATTTGGATATCCCACAACTTTTTATAAGCTTCACTATCAATCTTCTCTCTGGTAGAATGCTTAAAGTAATATCAGAAGGCTCCTACCAATCCCGTATTGCCTGGAAAGGTTTACCCCAGGGCTCGGTTTTGAGTCCCTTACTTTACAATATATATTCTCATGATCTGGAAGCCTCCCTTAAGGGTAAAGTTAATACACTCCAATATGCAGATGATTTACTCTTATATATCTCAGGTAATTCTGTTGACAACATGTCTGATACTATGACATATTCCCTTAAGTTGCTAAAAGTCTGGCTTGACAATAACTCTCTAAGCCTTTCAGTTGCTAAAAGTATGATAGTCTTATTTTCACGTATGAGACTTCCTCCATCAGTGTCTGTATTTTATAATAATATTAGAGTTTCCGTTAAAAGTGAAGCAACATTTCTTGGAGTAATTTTAGACTCAAGACTTACAGGAAGCTCTCATTGCAAATATATAAGTGCCAAATGTGAGAAGATTCTAAATATATTGCGTTGCCTCTCTGGAGTTTGGTGGGGAGCCCACCCTTTCTCTCTAAAGCTTCTATATAATGCCCTAATAAGAAGTATTTTAGACTATGGAACATTTATACTTGAACCCTGTAATACAGTAGCTCTCCATAAGTTAAACATTATCCAGTCTAAGGCTCTGAGAATAATTGCTGGGGCTATGCGTTCAAGCCCTATTAACGCTTTGCAGGTCGAATGTTCTGAAGCTCCCCTGCACCTCAGACGACAATTTCTTTGTGACAGGTTCCTGTTTAGAGCATTCCAAGTCTTTAATCATCCTCTTTACTCTAAGTTACGGTCTCTGTTGGAATGTATGGATTATCCGTACTGGGCTCATAAATCGCCGCCATGCCTTATTATTAGTCTCCAAAAATACCTAGCTCTTGAAGCTCCAACACATAGATCACAATTCCTTCCTATATTTTGTGTTAACTATGATGCCTTAACATTAAATCCTTCTATTTTATTTGATTTCGGTATATGTAGACAATATCCTTCTGCCAATGCCAAATTTATTAATATTATTGACAGTGACAACCGATGGAAAAATTGCCATTTAATTTTTTGTGATTCTTCCAAACCCGGCTCCGATAAATGTGTGGGAATTGGCGTTTTCCATCAACAGTTTGGCATTGTACAGAAAATAAAATTCCCTCCAGAGACTTCAGTATTTACTGGAGAATGTTTTGGTCTGCTGAAATCTCTGGAGTACATTTTAATAATGAAGTTAAAAAACTCAATAATTTTAACCGACGCTAATAGTGCCCTCCAAGCCTTGGAAAGATTTCCTTTTAGCAATAACAGAAATAATCATCCAGTCATTATTGCATGTCGTGATCTATTGCATCAATGTTGCATCAAAAATTACACAGTTTCTTTTGCTTGGATTCCGGGGCACTCAGGTATCTTTTGGCAATACCAAGGCCGATAGCCTTGCCAAAGCTGCGGTCAATGACGGAGATCTGGTTCCGTACAAAAATTTTTGTTGTGATTTGGCTCTCCTGCCTAAATCCCAGTTATTGAATTCTTGGACAAACATTTGGCGTTCTTCAAGTCAGACTAAAGGTCGATATTACAGCACGATTCAGGAGGATATACCTTCTAAACCATGGTTTTCAAATCTGACGCTTGGTAAAGCTATCACTTCGACCCTTATACGTATGAGGGTAGGCCATGCATGCATTCCTTTGCATTTGGCAAGGCTTAACATTTTGCCTAACGATATTTGTGAGTGTGGCAATGACGTTGGGGATTTTAATCATATATTCTTCGCCTGCACTCGACATGACCGTTCCGCTTTTATTTCCTCACTTTTATCCATTAAAATTCCTTTTCCTACTTCAATTTCTGTCCTATTATCTAATATAAATATGGATGTATATAGAATTTTAGCCAGTTTTATTTTTCATAACAATATAAAATTATAACCATTTATGTACTTATATAATAAATTTATCTGATCCTTTTCCAAATTCCGCTCCAATTTCTAATCCAATAAAATAAATCTAACAACGCACTTCCTAACTTTTTTACATGGCTGACGCACAAACCGTGCAGGCCAAGAAAGGAAAAAAAAAAAAAAAAAAATACCTGTGATGTTATAAATATTATTTCATTTTCTAATTTCTAAAGATTGAATTGAAAATGCCAACTGGTCATATTTCCCTTTAATATCAAATATAAATTCATCGTGAGAAAATGACAAACCGTATTTTTGTATACAAAAAATTCTCAGAAAATGGATTTGTTATGGCCTTGGAAAACTCTATGGATGTCTTCAAAAATAAAGTTTCATGTCAGTTTCAAATACCGGTGGAAAACCTAAAGTTATATTTATCTAATGGCTGTGAAATTGTTGACCTACATGTTCTTAAAGATGAGGAAAAGATATATTTAGAATACGACGAGAAGTATCATAAAGCTATGCATTCCTTACCTGAACAGGAAAACCGATCTGTGTCCGACTGGATTCGTCTGAATGTCGGTGGAAAACATTTCATGACCTCAAGATCTACACTGTTAGCAAAAGAACCTTTATCCATGTTAGCAAGAATGTTTGCTGATGTTAATAATGTTTATTTAATGAATCCCAGTGCTAAAGATAATACTGGGGCCTACCTTATTGACCGCAGTCCTGAATATTTTGAACCTATTCTAAATTATCTTCGTCATGGCCAAGTTATTCTTGACACAAATGTAAATCCCAAAGGTGTTCTTGAAGAGGCAATTTTCTATGGTGATTATTTTTCTTGAGGTATAATTTTTGCTTATAGTTTTTTGTTTGCATGTTTTATTCTTATGTTTATTGTTTGTTGTAGTAGTTTAAGATAAAACTATGATGGCATACTAAAAGTCACTTACAGAGATTTTGCAAATCCAAGATTGCAATTTGTTGAAAAAATAATTTGTGCTTTTATTTTTTTAACAACCTATTTTATTTATTGTAATATATAACATTCAAGAATGAAGTATAACATTCAACAAATGTTTTTTTTTTTTCTAAAAATTGTTGAGTTCTATAGAACAAAATGGAAATTTATTTTACCTTAGCAAAGAAGTAGTAAAGTAAGTTATGGTATCACTGGTTTTCTTCAAAAAAGAATTTAATGTTTATTATTTCAAGATATCTTGTACATATTTATATATATATCCACATAAAAATTTTACATTCACAATAAATTAAATTATTTTATGTAACATCATAATTATTTATTTCAGGCTTGGATTCCATGATTCCACAGTTAAATCAATTAATGGAGGAAAGGAAGAGTCGCCATGACAACCACTCACTCACCAGAATGGATGTGGTCCGACTGATCATTACTACACCTACAACATCTGAACTACGATTTCAAGGTGTCAATCTTGCTGGTGCTGATCTGAGTAGACTGGATTTGAGATACATTAACTTTAAGGTATTTTTTATATTTCTAAATAATATGGATTAGTATAACTATGTTAATTTAAAATCACCCATTTAATGTACTTTAGAAATTGATATTTTATTTATCCAGTGTCAATATTTAAATCAATTCACAACATTTATTTTACATTGATTAAAGGTATTTGTATATTACTTAACTTAATGAAATATTGCCCAGCCGTTTGCAATGGTAAATTTTAGTACCTATTGAATATTTTACAGCTTTGCCCCTAATGTGTAATAATTATATTTCAGTATGCTTGCTTATCTAAATGCAATTTAAGTGGAGCTAACTTATCTAACTGCTGTTTAGAGAGAGCAGATTTATCACATGCCAATTTGGAGGGTGCTCATTTATTAGGAGTAAAGGCACTTTGTGCTAATATGGAAGGTGTGTAATCTTAATATTCTTGGTACTTCAGTTTAATTCCAATACACCTGTGGTGCACTGCTAATTTGCTATTAAGAGCGCCCTTCCCCGTCCGACGAACGTCAACGCGAGCATGACCAAAAAGCTTGTTGTTTCATCCAGCGCAATGTCAGCAAGTGAGAACACGATAACGAGAAAAATAGTGTGCGGAAATTTCATAAAACTTGTTCCAAAAAATACGTGTTTTTTCGTAAGCCTTACAAGATTATGAAAAAAAAGTTTATATAAAGTTTATATTTAGAAACTCCATTACATTTGCAAGGTTTCTAAGCAAATATTTCTTTCCGGTTACAATTAATGAGTACATTATAAACGCCCAAACTTCATATATAATTTGTGCAAAAAGGCAGATTTTTGGAGGTTTGTACTGAATTTGTTTCTTAAAATTTTGACTTCGCGTTTTAATAGAAACCTAGATATAGTGGACAAGGTGCCTATTAGTTCAAAAGTTTCAAAGAAATATCTGTTACAACGCCATAATCACGTACGAGCGTTTGTATGAAAAGACGGGTTGGCCGCTCTTAAGTATTCTTCATGCTCAAGGTTCAGGGTAACATGGATGATGCATAGAGATCCATAGAAATCCATTGCCCTCATATAAAATTTAATATATATGAATGAAATAATTATGAGGTTTATTGGGGTATCTGATCATACCTATCATGACCCTAATCCCTCTTAGCATTGACAACAAATTTTCATGGAGCTCTCAACAATCTTAATTATATTTCAGGAGCAATTTTAAGAGGTTGCAATATGGAAGACCCAGCTGGCTCTAGGGCTGTCATGGAAGGAGTCAATTTGAAAGGTACATAGTAAATAATATCACATGTGGAAAATGTATATTGTGTGTTATTTAAAAGTAAAATTATTTACATTATTATCACAGTATGAAACTTAAAGTTACAGACACATTGATAATTATTATTATTTCCTCTATGTAACGCTTGACAGGATTGCACTAGAAACATATTTGTTACAAAAACGTAATAATTATAACTGTTACAAATATGAATGTGGGGTGATGCTGTGTACTTTGCCAAATGAACTATCTATTTCTACACCATGATCATCAATAGTAGATATTTTTTTATATTATAGGTGCAAACTTGGAAGGTAGCAACATGGCGGGCGTTAATTTACGTGTGGCAACACTGAAAAATGCCAACCTCCAGAATTGTGATCTAAGGACTGCAGTTTTGGCGGGAGCTGATTTAGAGGTATCATTTTAACTATGCCGTTAGGCATATTTTTAATAAATTGTATTTGTTGTGTATCGAAGCCAGATCTGGTTACATTTTATACTACTATTTCTATAGACATTATGAGAGGTAAACTTCACATTTTATGTTCTAATGTTTTTTTTTTAAATTATAAACAGCATATATAATACATAAACATACTCTTATAGCGTAGAGAAATTATTTAAAATTACATATTATTTTATAATTGCATATTTTTCAGTCTTGCGATCTCTCGGGCAGTGACTTACACGAAGCTAACCTGCGCGGTGCCAACCTGAAAGACGCAGCGTTTGAACTAATGCTGACACCTTTACACATGTCACAAACTATACGATAATAGATTATAGAATATAAACATTTTCACATTAATTGAAATTTTATAGTGTAAAAAGGCTTATTTCTACATGTGTTTCACTGCTATCTAGTTTATTTAATAAAATAGGTCTCAGCACGACTCGAACTTAATAAAACAGTCCTGAACTTATGAAATAAACCAGTTAAGTGACGTCATAGAAAAAATATGGTTTTTCTTTGGTTGTAAAATTTGCTATATTATTGTGTGGTATATATGTGTTGTGGTTTTAAAGGAGTTATAGATATATGTATATTATAACTTTCCTTCAAATATTAAAGTTTCTTATATAGATGGACAAATTTATTTAAAATAGTAATACATTTTTATTTATTGTATATATGCACTTGTTGTATCAAAAGAATGTCAAGGTATATTGAGAATTACTTTGGACTTGACTAATTGTTAGTTAATATAGTAATTGGCTATTGCTTCACATAGATTTTAATAGCTAGAACAATTGGTGAATAGTTATGTAGACCATATTATTATGTCTACTTAATTATAGGTACACATATAGTTAATTATTTATATTACATCAAATATTATGATGTGAGATCAACGTATTATGAATGACTTTTAGTAATTGAATCTTAAAATTTGTGATAAATTATACAGTGTTATTTGAAATAAAGATAAAATATAGATTGTTTCATTTGTTGTAGATAACAACTTTAATATTCCAATGGCTTTAAGTTTTGTGTTTATAGAGTAGGTAAGTTTTTATATTGAGTTAAGCCTGAAACTGTAATATAAAGCATCGTTTCATTTTAAATATAATTTAGTGTAGATAAAATTTTGTAATTTTCATATTTCGGATCCATGACATCTTTGGGTATCGGTAGATAGCATTAAAACAAACAGTCATAATATTATGTGAGTTTAATTGCTTTTGGTAGTCTTCTCCGTACGTCCCAACTACCAACCCAAATAGTCGAGACGTAAAAAGGTTTATTTAAATACTTATATTATTTTGTCCTGACATTATTTATCTTTATTGAATGAATAAATATCCCAATCTAAATATAATTTATAAGACAAATTTCGATTAAACTAGTTAGTGTATTATTAATGTTTAATGAACCATTCATACCTAGAATTATTGTTAACCCTATTGATATAGATAAATAATAAAATATAAACCTACGTTTGTAAATTCATCAAATGACAAGATAAGAAAATATAATCATTTGAACATAAAATCTTCCTTTAGTACGGGAAGAAGAAAGTTAGCTTTAGGTATCCAATTAAAACAAGGACATTACCAATTGCAATAATATAATTATTATCACAATGTCTAATATGATGAACACTTTCCTTATTGATATAGACTAAGGAGTCTTTATTACAACTTTACCTATCAAGAAACAATAATGACCAATATTAAGTATATAGAAATTTGTGATTTGGAAATGTATGCACTATGCATTCCCTCTTTCGCTGTCGCGGGTCGCCGTACCCCCTCACGTTATACATTTGCGACGTTGCTGTCGCTATTTAAAACACCGCTATTGGCAACCTCGCCCAGGCGTTTTGCGTAGGAAGGGTTTTTAAAGCGTCATCTCACGGCGATTTTCTTAACATTTGGAATTTTTGTGTTTATCATTTCTTATTTTAACGTCATAATTTCATGGTTTCCATAGCAATGATTTGTCAATTTATGTTAATTATTTTTACTACGACCGCATAATGGCTTCAAGTTTCAACTATATATTCTACCAACTACCAAGAACATCCACTTTATGATTAGCATTTAACTCTGTATACATTTATACAGAATTCAGTTCTGTATAAATGTATAGTCTGTGTCTAGTAATAAGGCGATAGTATGTAATATGCTTTTTTACCTTATCCTACGATATTACACACATACACATATTTTATTTAAACAAAAAATATTCCGAATAACAGATAAATATTACGATTATTTAACCCTTTACTAGATCTGTGAGACCATGTAATAAATTAATTAAAAAAAACATATATTTAAGACGTCTTGTCTATGACTGTGATCACCGATTGGCGATTTCTATTCGTTTTAATATTTTCTTCCGATTTCTCTTTCTGTTGACAGCTGTCAAGTCAATTGCATTTGTTTTTTATTCGCATTCTATTTTCGTGTGTGACGGTTCTGCAGTCAGTCCGGCAAATAAAATATTTATTTCATTAAAACTTTTCGTTTTACGAAATTGTTAGGTTTTATTCCTTCGCAATTGATCCAGTATTTATATAAAACATGCAGAACGGTGAAGAAACAGTGGCAGCTACGGAAACAGGTAATTTTAGCAATTTCCTTTTTATCCATTTAAATCAGTACAAAATAATGCGTTTTAGTCTTTTCTATTTTTGCAAGTTTACTTATATCCTCTGCTATAAATTATTGGTTGTTTCACTTTTTTGTCGTCTTAGTTGGAAACAAGCATGTTTTTTTAAGTACCCCCTTCTATTTTTGAATATTAATTGCATCGTAATCACGGCTCAGTTTTTATAAATTATATTTATTGCGGTAGTAACTAGTAATTTCACCTGCGTTTATTTCGTTTCGTGCATTGATTTAGTGCGATTTGGGTGGTTTCCTCGCAATTACAGTAGCTTAATTAGAGTGTGAACATGACTCAGATATTTCTGTCTACCTACACATACAAAGTGATAAAAGCCGGGCTTTTTCTATTTTTTATTAATTGTAATTGTTTGGTAAAATGTACAAGTATATATATAAAATTATGTTGAGCCAAAGTGATCATGAAATAAAACCATGTGTTTTTTATTCTACCCTACTCACTAACTTTAAAGTTAACTTTACATTGGTATTGAACATTTAATTAATATTCTAATAGATTTCTTACTAGTTGAGATTTAATTTGAAGTATACCTCACTTACCTAATGACTAAGCCAATCCACTTGCAATCAAATAATCATAATATATTAATTATCTAAAATGAAAATTTTATCATAATAATTAAGAGCCACATAAATATAAAATTTGAATATCCCTTATGTTTATTATGAATATGGGTACAAATATTTTAAGGAAAATTTTTTTTTTTTACTTACAAGTTATTCACAACAGAAAATTAGAAATGGTAAATAGTTTGTTGTATCTTAGTGTGTTAAGGTTAAAAAGCAGACAATGACATCACTGATGCTTTAAATAGTTAGATTATGTCATACCTTAGTAAGAGTAGCAATTTGAAAGCTTTATTATGCAAAGTGATTTAAAGTAAACTGTAACTTAAAAACAATTAAAGAAGTGTTTTGATTATCAAGTATAATTAAGCAATATTTAATTTGAAGTGAAATAACTCTTAATATTTTTGCTAAGTTAGCTGTTTATACAATGTGCTGTATGCCTTATGGTTTGTGGACTCAGTTTCCGCACTTAGACTCTCAGTAGGTCCGTTGTGCGTAAAGTCCTTGCTAACTAAGCCAGCCAAATGCTGTATGCCTTTTTATCATTGTTATTCTTGGCTCTTTTAGATTGCTAGTTTCCTCTAATAGATCTTTTAAACATTATTCATACACATTATTAACAATTATTAAATCAAGTTTGAAATACATGATGTTTGCTCAAGATTTTGTAGTAACAGGTGTTTAGTTACGCCGGTGTGCCCTTGTTAGTAACAGCTAGGCTCAATGTCACTAAGTCTTCATGTAGTAATAGTTATTTAGCTTTATTATAATGTATTGGAATACTTGCTCTTAATTTTGATTTAGCTCTTGTATTAAAATTTCAAAAAACCAAATATAATATTCAATGTTTTACTATCAAAACGAAACTAACTACATGTTATATTATTGAACTACGTAACAGTATTAAATAACAACTTTTATAACATTCAATTATAGATTCTATATCTATGATTTTTATGTCTAGATTACTGTGTAAGGTTTTGGTTATGCTTGACTAAGTTTCAGAAGGTTGAACATTTTATAGTGAAAGTAATTGTGTTTTCACCGTTTCAAATTGGTGTAGTATTATCAAGTGTGTAACATGCAAAAGTGTTATAATTGCCTTAAGTTTGTAGTTTAGAAAATAATAAATAACACATGTTTTATACATTTATATTTTGTTTTTTTAACTACCCTCCTTTTTTTAATTATTCCTCAGTATGAAAGCACATTTTGGATAGATCTTACAATCTAAATTAGGTTATCTATGAATAAAATAAATAGGTTCAGGAACTTGACTATGTTAAAGCTTAACTATACATATGGGTGGGTAGTCTTATATCAAAATATGTATGATATTTTCCTATTTCTAGCATTTTAACGAATGTTTTAATTACATGTATTTTTATTCCTTAGTCAAGCCTGAAGAAGTCACGAAGCAATCTTACCGCGTCAAAGTATGGCGACACTTGGAGAACAATGGTCTGGCCATGTTCCCCCGGCCGGTATACAACCGCATACCAAATTTTAAGGGTGCTCAAGAAGCAGCAGTCAAGCTGGCAGAGTTGGAGGTGTTCAAGAATGCAAATACTGTCAAAGTCAACCCTGATAAGCCACAGGAGCCCGTAAGGTGAGTCTTCGACGTGAATCATGTTTGCGACATCACTTATTCTTATATAATACGAAAAACGTAAGGATTTACGGCTCGTCTTTTGGGGTTTTTGAAGTCGGCTAAAGGGTGTTTATTGTTGATGAGTTTTTAGTATTCTCTAGCATCATGGATTAATGTAAAAAAGATGACGCCTTTATCTAGCTTTCATGTACATATTTAACAGTTACACCATGAGAAAAGACCGATTTTTTATTTTAATGGTCCTTAAATGTAGTTACATATTTAGTTGTATTGCTATGTTAGAAACAATAAAATGTATGAAATGCAAAAGCTGTTTAATTAAGATCATGTATAATGGAATACATATTTTCCAATTATTTATTTTTTTCGGGCGATGTAATCGTACTATATAAATGTACGATATTTATATTATGTTTAATCGGTGTTCAAGAAAAAATTGTCGCATAACTTTCGTTGATCGCAACTGACCACTTCAAGCGTCTGTTTTGTGTCCCAATTTTCGTCTATTTTCTAACTACAATTCGGTCAAACATTTTCGTAACTAGCTTTGTAGCTTTCTGTGTAGACTTATCAAAATAGCGAATGTTCTTTATATAGTTCATGAATTAACTTACGCCATATGTAATATTAAAAATCCAATCATATTAATTTCAATGAATATCAGTTTAAGTTTGCTACTTGCAATTATATTATTACATTACCTCGCATTTAGAGCGGTAATACTACTAACAGTTTCCTAAAAAAAGTCACTGATAATAGGATGTTTTATTAATGCCAACCAAAACTTTGTATATAAAAATTCATGCTTAGCTTATAACAGATAACATTAAAACGTTCTTCCTATTTTATAAAAAATATAAATTCACGTATAAATTATTAAATAATCATACATTTCTTTAGTGACATGATATGGACATATAATGACAAGCTATTGACATGGCTGTACTGATTTATCGGTCAGCATAAGTAGGTTTATACAAACTTTGGTTTTATATGGAAACAGTCAACTTAAAATCAACATACGTAACTATATATTTTCGTAAATTCAAAATAATATGTAGGTATTAAAGAGCCGTTGACCCATTCAGTTCACAGCTAGAGTTATTTAGGGCGATCGTTCTATAAATACTTTAATACTGTCTATTTTTCAGTCAACAGTAGTGAAATTGTTGGAAAAATTATTCGATAAAGTCTTGAAGTTTTTAATTGTCGCGTTTTGCTCTTATATTATCAAAAAATATTTGACAAATAATCTGATTTTTGAGGGTTCGTGTTTAAGATTATTTGGTATTTAAACTGTAACGGTCTGGTATAAAATATGGACTAAAGAATACTGTATTTATCGCAATTTTTTTCACAAAAATGGTTTGTCACGTTTATTTATTTTAAATGTGACATGGTACGTATACCATTCAGTATGTACCGTGTCACTTTTAAAATAAATAAACTCTGAGAGTCATCAAACTATACAGTTATGAAAATGGGTGTTAAATGTTGGTAACAATAGCCTACAAATTACACAATGTATTTATTATTTATTAATAAGACGGTAGTAATATTATATATTAATAAGTATCAAAATTTTGCATTCAACATAGTCAAAATGTCATTGCTCTCTTATCATTTAAAATTAACGATTAGATAGTCGATGATTTTTTTAAAGTTTTTAACCGTTCACACTTGATTGTTGGAAGGTCGAATAGTATAAATAAATATAAGAACATTGTATGATCCATGCCCATGCGTTACGGGACTACACCCGATCATTATGTAGAAGTTATTTTATATATAAATTATTTGTCCATTGACAATAACACGACAATTGCTTCTTGTTTCTAACCGATTTTGCGACTACCGGATTTGCATTCACTATAATATTGCCCGTCATTATTGTCGGCTTATTATAGTCGGTAATGATATGAGACTACTGCTTAATTTTAGAAGGGACTGGTTGGATTTTAGATGGGGTCCATACGAATTAGAACTTCGTAGTTTGTAACCTCTATTTAAATCCTATATTGGTATTCTACAGTAAGTCTACATCCCAAAGGCCTCGAAATTTGACAAAATATTAACACTAGTATAATTCGTATAACAGATTTTATACAAACTGGGCGGCTCCTAATGCCTATTGATCGGGTTGTTTTCATTTTTAGTGACATTAACACAAGAAATTTGTATTTCTTAATACGGTTATAATTCTTTGATTTTCGAACGATAAATATCCCGTCTTTAATCTAATATATAAAATTTTTTTGTCACAATGTTTGTTCCCATACTCCTCCTCGGCTCGACCGATTCTTATAATTTTTTTATGCATATTCAGTAAGTCAGAATCGGCTACTATCTATCTATCTTTCAAACCTAGGGGTTTAAGTGATAAGGGGTGTCAATACCAATTTTTTTTTAATTTTTAGATTAAAAAAATTGTTTTTATTTTTTTATGATGCACTATACAAAAATACATACAACCCCTAATTTTCACCTGTCTACGGTCCAGCCCTATTTTTTACTTAAAATCTTATGACTTGAACTCTGAGGTTTATATAGAGAAAAATTCACTGGTAGGTAGGTAGGCTAAGTAAAATCACATTAAGGAGAAACGAAGTTCGCGGGGAGTGCTAGTAAAATATAAAAATTTATAAATACGTCAATGTTTATGCAATGACATTAATTTATCGTTAATTTGTAAATATTATTTGTAGCCGTCTTTAATGATAACCCAGCTAGGGTAATACCTAAACATAAGATAACTTTGTTTTGATTTAATTAGTTGCATTATTACATAATTTGTATTTGTTCAGAACATAAATTGCTCTTTAATGTATGTTTAGTTTTTCTTATTAATATTGTATAAAAAAATCGTAAAAAATTTAAAAAACGTAGTAGATTGCATTTGTTTTTAATACTTTTTATTTTTTTATTTATTTTTTATTTTATAGCCTATATATAAGTAATGACTTTGACATTTGACATTTCCTAAAATGTTCAAGGCCATTTTTTCGCTAGGTTTAAAACTTACAAATACACTGGACGCTCGACCTTTCTATATTGATTGCACTTATAACGCAATCTAATTTACATATTATGCTGTCGATGTGATTACTCAATCAGTACCTTGCAGTAACGTGGGTGCACTCAATGCATAAAACCGGATTTGACATAAAAAATATTTGCCTATGAGTTGTGACGTCATAGGTTTTTTATTTATTTATCATACGTGATGTAGCGGTTGCTGACTAGGTACCCCAAATGTTTTATATGCACGGTGCAGTATTACTACAACGATACTTTAATAATGTACGTTTGTAAAACATAAAACTGGACAAATTGCAGAACCGAATTTGAAAAAAATTACGTTTATGGTCTTGCTATTTAGAGAAACTAATCGATTATTGAGTATCAATTTGTACTAGATCCGTAGGTTTATCTTAATATTTTTAATAGTATTATATAAATCTCTTAATAATTAAGAATATAATTTTATCATACATACATAAATCGCTTCGATGAATAATAATTTTGATTCTATACAGAGTGCTATGCCTGGAGCAGCAAAAAAATCTCTACGTTCCGGTGCCTCGCCTGCAAAACGGTTTTATGAACCGTCTAGTATTGCCCGAGGGAGAGACTGGACCCGCGGCTATCAAAAAGGCAGTCTCCCGAAACGGCATGGAGACGTACGGAAAACCATTGTGTGAGTAATCTGTTGCACTATCTAATCGTCTTAGTTGGTAATTAATTATAAGTCGTAGAAGAATTATATTCAATATTGTTCCAAAAATAGATAAATGAAAGAAAAAAATAAAAGAATATAATTATTATGATAGTATCAGTTTGACTAAGGAGGGAGCAAATATTATTTATTACTATCAGTCTAGAACTGTCACCGTTGTTTCAACTGTTAAATGTCAAGCTTCTAAAGTCAAACATCAAGTTTGGCGCCAAATTTAAATTTTAAATATGTAACTTCATTTCATAATTTTTGCGATATTTTTATGGAGTACTAGCGTCCTGCTCCCATTTCGCATGAGTGTTTTGTGACCCCCTATATATATATATATATGTGACATATATTTGATGAAAATAGCATACAGTAGTTTTTGAGTTTATCTGTAATAGAGGACTTTTATAATAGAAGTGATACTAGAAGAATATCAAGAAATAGAAGACGGATATTTTTTCGAAAGATTGTATAAAGTTTCTCTATTTTTCCAGCCATCGAAGAATCCGTTTCGCTGGATCTCGTCGTAATGGGATCAGTCGCCGTCTCCAAAGAGGGATACCGCATTGGCAAAGGACGAGGTTTGTAGACAAGAATACTAAAAATGATTAAGTTAGTTTTTGATCTATATAATCTTATTATCGAACTCTATTCAAGACTAAAAATAAAATAAAGAAATAGTCAAGACTATTTGATAGATGTTGTTTTCGTTATATTAAGAAATATTTTCAGGTTACGGAGACCTGGAGTTCGGTCTAATAATGCACATGAAGGCTATCAAACCCAACACTCTTGTGGTCACCACAGTGCATGATTGTCAAGTGAGTAAATTATATATATAAAAAATTCACTTTTGCTATTTGTATGAGGTGTGTGTAGTATGTGTTTTAGGAACTACATAAGACTAAATGTGTGTCTGTTAACATTGAAAACCTAGTAATTAAAAGTGTATCTATGTTAAGCTTACAAACTGAATTAATTAGAGGGTTCTAATTTATAAATAAATAACTAACCTTAACATATAATAACTAAAATATCTTATTAAACGAAGTCCCTTTAGGCAAGGTTCCGAAGATACTGGCAGCGTTCCCCCTTTGAATAGCTAGACTAATTCTTTGTCCGAGGTAGCTGCCAGATCTTCGGTCTCCTGTGATGTCGACTAACCTTTTTGATATTTCTTTAAAAAGCCTTAAAACCTAGTTACATTTCAAATATTTTTAAATAGAAGAAACACACACTGAAAAAACACATCACTTTAAACATTTACATGGAAAAGAAATAATTCTAATTTTGTCATGCAAATTTATCGTTATCCTGAATGAAGTCATATTAGACATCATTAGAGATGTTGTTTCAAATATAAAGTAACCATATGAGACATGTTTGTATAGTTTCACATCTTTGAAACAGCACTGCTGCTTTGAAGTCTGCTTTTTTATTTTAGAACGGAAAATCCTAATCAAGCACCTTGATCGTGAATAAGCTAACATTGTATTGACTAATATATTATCTTATTTACAGGTGTTTGATACACTACCGCAGGAACTGTTTGGACCGCATGACGTGCCAATAGACATCATTGTCACACCCACACAGGTAACATTTACTTCCTTACATCACATTATAGTACGTAGAGGTAGCAATGTTTTTAGGAAGCGTAAGATGGATCGCAAAAAGATTATTGCACTACTGTTATTGTTAAATAGATATAAAGAAAGTATTTCGGGTTCATCTGATTTATTGCGATATATGAACTCTGAGATCCTTTCACAGACCTCTTGCACGCACTTCTGGTAAATAGATCTTTTAAGGGCTCATCTGGCCCAAAGGCGGTAGCCGTTTTTTTTTTAGGCCTTTTCTAAAGCTTTCTCAGAGCGGACTAAAAAATTGTGGGGGGGGGGGGGGGTTTTTTTGTTTGTTTTTTTTTTTTTTTTTTTTTTTTTTTTTTGGGGGGGTTGGTTTTTTTTTTTTTTTGGGGGGGGGGGGGGGGGGGGGGTTTTTTTTTTTTGGGGATCCTACCTGTCCAGGTAATAATCCTGGAGTTTAAAAGCATTTTAAGAAGCGTAATTTTTCGTTTTTAAATAAGTCTACCTGACTTACTTTTTTTATTGCCAGACATTTTTGACAATGCTAACTATGTGCCCGACGGGATTTTAAGTTTTTTTTTTTATAAAAATTTAAAAGTATTTTATAATGTCTGTAATATTAATATTATGTTATTTAAATATAAGAAAAACTAAAAATTTATTTGCCAGAAATTAATTCGATTGTTAAGCCTTGAATTAAAATAAAAAAGTCAGTGGGTGAGTTCATAAAATTACTATTGGAAGATGTTAAAGGATAACTTCCATTTTATTGGCTCCAAATTACATGTATCCCTTCATACCTCGCTTAAAGATAATTCTTGTTTCTTTGGATAGAACTAACTTTTTCAGTTCCACCTTCACCGTCACTCCCATTCGATTGTGGAATGCTCTGCCTATAGTGTTGCCCTCGGAGACTAAATTTACCGTTGACCTTTGTTATTTTTACCAGTATATTTATATTAAGTTGTTTTGTGTAATTTTTTTTTAAATTTCTGTATTGTAATTTATTTATGTTTGGGTTGTCTGGACGACACTGCTTTTAGGGGTAAGTTCGCCCCGTTACATCCTTTGTCTTAATTTATTTATTTTTTCTCATGTTTTGTGTTGATGTAAATGAAGTGTTATTATTATTATTACCCATTTGCTTTAAGATGTCGGTTATGATTTTTCATCGACCTTTAGATATATATTAATGTGTCTAAACAACACGTTGTGTAGTATTAAAATAAAGATTATTTCACCAAGGACCATCTCTACATATATTTTAATAATGTCTGTTTGTCATACAGGTGATAGAGACACAGCGTCTCAGCCAGCGTCCAGTGGGAATTCTTTGGCACCTGCTCTCAAACAGACGCATTCAACAGATGCCTGTGCTTGCGCAGCTTCGTGAAATTGAGATGCTGTAAGTGAAGCATAATAACTATTAATATTAATCTATTGTGTAAATTGCTGACGTCTGCTATTGTTTGTCTCATAGTGAGGGTTGACAGATCCAAAGATATTGGTTAATTGTTGCCAAAGTTAATAAAAATTGAATTTTATTCAATTATGCCTTGTAATTTGAATTCTAGTAGGGTTTATAAAATTTCGGTAAAATAAATGTTATGGAACAAAAGGAATATTTGGTAATAATGGAAAATATTTTTAAGGGCGGGCCGTGATTGTACCCTGAAGGAAGTGGACACGGATATTGAAGACCGTGGTGGATCTCGTGCACGTAGACAGAGACGTCGTACTCGCTCACACAAGAGCCAGAGTGAGGGGGAGGTGAGATTGTTTCAAACAAGCTAATTGTAACATATTAATTGGTATATTTTCAATGAAGTTTTTACTCTTAGAAGCAAATGGAACTGAATTTTTAGTAAAAAAACATTTTTTACTTAAAATCCACTTCAATTTGCTACGTTACGTTGTCCAATCCCAATTTTAATTATAAATAGTTTTAAGTCGTTTTTGGACATTTTTTTTTAATGGCTCTGGCACGATTTGTGCATTAGCCAGCGTCAATTATAGGATTTTTTATAATTCGTGATGGTCTTTTTAGAAATTCGACCGTGTCCTCCATATACGGTTTAGGCACTCGCCCGGTACCGCACAACCCTCCCAAAGGCCGAGAACAAATTTAAATTAAATTAAAACTTGCCCTCGAACCGCTAGGCTATGAGGCCCCTAAAAAAATGAACATATTTTGCGGTCGTTATAGTTTTCATTATAGATCGCCATTTGCAGTTTATAAAATATCAGGTTTTAAAAGCCATAACCAATTTTTTTTGTTTATTTAAATTTATTCCCTAATATTTTTAATTATTTAGTCATCGTACAAATGTGACTAGATCTAACATTTTAAAAGTAAGTTAATGTATAAAAATTGTTTTCAGGGTAACACGACAGAAGGTGAAGAGAAGCCCAAAAACCGTCGTACCCCGCGCAGGCGCAACAGTCAGAGGTCTGCCAAGGAGAATAAGGAGAACAAGGAAGGAGATGACGTCAAGGAAAAGCCCAGGCGTCCGCGAAGACCGAGACCGGTCATTGATTTCTCTGTTAAGGTAAATAAATAATAAAAATAAAAAAAACCTTTAATGCTGTTTAACTTATATGCTAAATATAAAGTAAATATGCCTAAAGTAATATAATATTTTGTCCCATTGTATACTTAGTATCTATCGGCCGTTATTTATTTACAGCTTGTCACATTTACAGAACAACTAAAGTGGAGATGGGCGGGTGTCTCCACTATAGTTGTTCTGTTAATGCCCAGGTACAAAAACATGGAAAAATACACATATGGTAAACTTTTCTCTTTTTCTTCATGGGCCTCTTCTTGTCTTTCATTATCTCACCCAGTATCTGGTTACCGTTTTCAAGTGTTTGCTATTCTTCTCTCGTATACCTTTGTATACTCTTCGGGGGATATTAGTTGCCCTAAATAAATGTATTCGTTCACGTGTTCTATATTTTCGTCGTAATTGAAGTTATACTTCTTTAGGCGCGTCATGAAAAATTGGTGAGAGTGAAATTTTACGATGCGCGCGCACCGTGACACAAAATTAACAGAATGAATTTGCCCACGGAAGATGTTAATTGGACATAATTTAAAAACAACATTCGAATAATAATTAAATTTATGTTACACTTTATGTAAGAGAATAATAATAAATATTTGTTTGTTAATTTTTCAAATGTAAACTGAACTTTATTGACTATAATGACTCCTTTTCCAGCCTTTGATTATTTAATTGTAATTAATTATTTGCTTGCAATCAAAAACTATTTTTAATAATGCTAAAGAAGTATAACTTCTTACGCGCGTACATAAGTACACGCACCCTTTTTTTTATTGTCACTTCGCGTATGTTATGTGTATATAAGTGATTGTCAGATTAAAAATTGAATTCTATTTTTCTTGTCCCAGTGTACATAAGTACACGCACCCTTTTTTTTGTTTTTTTTTTATAGTTTCTTTGCAGTACGACACACGAATATATTAATCTTATTAAAAAACGGTTACGGTATCATGGAAAAATAAGTTATGTTCTTGTTCACCACAGTTTTGTGCATATTTTATTCAAAAATATTACGTAATGCTTAAACATTTTCGCATTGATGGTCATAGTCACCCCTTGACCTCTAAACCCTAGGACGTACTTCACAGTTAAATATTCACTTAAATAACCGGCTGTTTTGTAAAAGACATCCTTCAATATTATGTGCGTCATATAAACATCTTTGATTTATTACAGATCTCGAATATCAGCCCGTCAACTCGAGTGCGTGACTTGAAGCAAGCACTCATAGAACGCGGTGTAAAACCACAGATGATGACTTGGAAAGTAAGTTCAAAGACTTTTGTTTTATTTGATTTGATATTTGATGTTCTAGGTTGGTTGTTGTTCCTGTTAAAAAAAACAGTTAAACAGACCCTTATGTCGATAACATCATCATGGTATATATGGTATAATAAAAACAAAACACGTACGTGACTATATTCTGTTTTTAAATAACGCCCACGGGTCGGTCAAGTTTTATATAATAATTTATGTAAAATTTTATTATAAAGCAGCAACTTGCAAATCATTTTATACTGACGGATCCCACAGACGTCTGCTCGTTCCCATAAAATAAAACGAACACAATATTTATTTTATTTATTTATTTATAGCATAACAGCCAAGGTTTATTAAGAAATGTTATTATACATTTAAGAATAATTTTATACATTACCAAAAGAACTTCTTTCTCTCAGTATACCAACCTCCCCCTCCCCCTTCAAAGTTTTTGAATTTTGTCTTGAATATAATTTCAATTTTTTAATGATCTCCTCTTTTCAGGGATTCCGCGGGTTCTGTTACCTACACTTCTACAAAACACCCCAAAAGGTCAGTATTAATGTGGGGTAACTACTATTACTTAGTGGTTTTTTGTTATTGTACTTTTAAATTACGCACTAATAAAATTAAAAACGGCAAAACCTTTTTTGCCGTATTGATAGTGGTTTTTTTTGACAATGAACAGCCTTTTCTGCCGGCCCAACCTATAGTTTGAAAATGAAACAATCACTCAATTATTGTTTATAATTGATTACACACTGATATACTACTTAAATATATAGATAATAAAATATAATATATACTTATTGTATATCCTTTATATGTTTCAGGGTGAAGGCGACAACATTCAACCACCAAACATGGAGAGCATCATCAATGCGTTGTCCCAAATGTGTGTGGCGGGAACAGGAGACGAGACTAGCGAGAAGCCTCGTTTACTGAGCGTCGAACCGGCGCCTCCCAGGAATATTATCCGGCCTGTCACTCCCGCCGTTGAACAGCCGCCGTTAGAGGTAACGTATTAGGTTGATTTCCCCCCCATGTAACGCGCCGTAACATTTTTCTGTGCCCAATAGTAAAACGTTTCGTGACCACCCCGTGGCTATTTATACCTAAAAGTTGCAACAATAACGCGTAATTCTATCCCCGCCCCGCATCGTAACGTAAGGAACCCAAATTCGTTACGTATTCTTGAACGCTCCATGTACTTTCAATGTGCTTTTATTTTTTTCGGTGTTTCTCCTAAACTATAGTGTTAAAATAAACAAATGAGTAATAGGAAGTAACACAGTAGTACATCTTTATTAATATTACTATACTATTACTTTTCGGATTGTGAACCTTAAAAAGTTTGTGCTAAATTTTACCTATCTACATGTTGATTCCAGGTACACTAATCTTCTACCATGTGTCGCACGAACGTTGCTCGCTTCAGCACGGAGCATTCCGATATTAATTTTAGTCTTAAGGTTTATTTATCTGCCGGCCGTTTAGCGATTTTTATGCTAATTATAGAATTATATTAATGCTAAGACCCAAATACTTTAGCTAAAGCCAAATTTTAGTTTTTAAAAACGGTAATAATTACAAAATTTTTATATTTTTATTAGTTTAAAATGAAATTTTACTTTAATGATATTAGACTGACGATGGATATGTTTCTGTATATTTTTTCTCTCGACACTATCTCTTGATCTCCCTCCACATATATCTATATTTTATTATAACTTTCTTGTCACTTATTTGCTTTTCATCCATCAATTATACATCCATAATTCAATTTTATTAATATACTTTTATAATTGGTTCCAAGGAAGCGAAAGTTCGATTTTAAGTTATTTCGAACGGGCTCGAAGTATTTTTTGTTCTTATTGCCATAACGGCCGGCCTATTTGTTAGAGAGAGATAGAGTATATATTTACAAATTTAATATATTCGTTTTTGATTCTCTAGTCCTAGAATTTAATATTTACTCTTGTTTTCAATACTTTTAAGGATTCTTCCGCGTATAGAAGTTATTCTAGCGTAGGATGTGCACCATTGGGCCCAGGACGTATACGTGATTTGTGTACGTATTACGTACGTACGTATTGTGTGCGTATACGTCCTGTGTGGGGACTATTCTAACAATGTTTGATAAGCTCCATATTCCGGTGCTTAAACGGGAGTCCAAATTTTAATTAAACGGATTTGATTAGATTTAAGTATATTTTTGCATAATTTGGACTCCCGTTTTGGTTAAGTGCCAACTCGATTAAGGTATATTAGTACCGATTGTCCTATGTCTTGTGATTCTCAACTATTAGGCATATCTGTTGATATAGACTTTTTCAGTATTAGAATTATGGAGTTAGGATTCCAAAGATACGGAGAGATTCCGTTTTGTTTAAAAGCCAAAAAAGTGTTTTAGTTTATGAAAATTTTAAGTGAAGCCAATTAACTTTTATTTTAACGAATTAAATTGTTATAAACGAAATCTCTTTGTATTAGGCATCTTTTACTTTTAGTGAACGCGTTTCTCAGATCCTATTGGTCTCTTATAGTAAAAAATTGAATTATTTTAAGTCTGTTTTATATCGATGTATTTTTCGAAATTATACGTTATTTTGCAGCATAATAGTAGTAGCGTGGATGAAGACGAATTTCATAGTCCATTTTCATAATAAAGTTATTTTCACAGATTAACAAATTTCACTGTTATAATGGTGATTTTTCACATTTCGTCTTCATTCACGCGTTTAAGCATTTTAACTGGTTTGTTAAGCAAATAACTGCCTCGACGTTCAATTGCGCACATAATATTAAGTAACACATGGGTAGCGAGCATGGTTCTTGTTTTATATTTTTTTAATAAACTTTATTTAACAACTTTTGTTTTTTTTATTAAGCTCTATTCTATGGAAATAAATGTTGTGATGTATTGCGTAGTAGTTAAAGTACGAATTAAAGTCTATTTTTCTAGTTGAATGCTGTTTTATTCACAAATACCAACCAAAATACAATATTTCTACTTTTCTAGAACATATCTTTGGAATTTTCACCGCGTTGCTTTTACTGACCCTAGCAAATATAATACACACACGCCACCGGACTAAAACAAATACTATTATTCCATGATTCTAAAATTAGCGGGGTGTTTGTGCTATAGAAACAGTTGACTTACCGAATTCAAAAGTTCCAATCCCTCTAACGTTAATTATCACGTTATATTTGGATCAAAAAGTGTACTTTAATTAGCAATAAGGATAGACAAAATACTAGAAAAATAACATTTAATGTATTGAACATATACAACATGTAATTGAGTACGCTGAAAATCTCGAAGTTTGTGAAAAAATCAAAAGAATTTGCCACGTACCCCAGATGGTAAAGTTACGCCACTGATAGGGTACAAGGCGTTATTATAACAGTTTGCTTGCGAATAGTATTCTTACACTATACCAAATGCAAACGCTGCTTCCAAGCACTATCGTTGTTATATCGAGTCCGTATTCTCATACACGTGGAGCTAAGTGTCCCGTCGTAGAGCTATATGTTTTTATATATGTGTACAGCTCTCCGATTGCATTTACGTCATTGTCTTATACGCGTTGCAGACCAAGAGCTAAGCTACGTTAGTTTAGCTTAGCTCGCATAGCTGACGCAATTTTCCATACGTCTGTGCAGACCGCAAACTATGCGAACTAAGCTATGTGAGCTAACTTAAATATGCGAAGCTAAGTTAGTTGTATGCCGATGCGCAGCTACACGAGCTAAGCTAAGCCCCTCGCGCTACCCCGCACACCCTTTGCACATACTATGCAACACTGACTGAGCTTTGGGTTAGCTGTTGGTGTGCATGCTATTTATGTATATATTTAGCTTAGCTTAGCCTAGCTTGCTTGGCATAGCTTAGTTTAGCCTTGGCATAGCTTAGTTTTCGGTCTGCAACCGGCTTTACACGGTCGCGTTTTTTAGCTTTGCTTACGTCTCTCTCATACAAAGTTCTCGAATACTCGTCGATTTTAGTATGGAGGTGATACGTAGCCGTATCGGAATCTGCAGCCTAGCGTCCATTACGCAATTTACTTAAATTACATGTCCCTCACGTGCTCGATGTCAGCATTTATAACCCCATGGAACCTCATTTTTCTACATATTGTATTCGTATTTAAATTCTATAATGCTAACATCAAAATGTTTAGCCGTAATATTAATAGTAATTATTATTTTAATTAAATTACTTTTAAATATTTGTTTTTTCGTAACGTTCGGCTAGTAATGCGCGTCCATGAATGCCAAACAAACTAACAATACAAATTGGGGAGTAATGGTATTATATGTAGGAAATAAAACTTTGAATTTATCTACATCAAGACATCTCAGTCGATGGATATTTATAAAAAAATACATCAAGGGAACAGCTTTTTATTCATCAGGTTCATTTACATTCTCATCACGACTCGACTCGTAAGACACTTTAACCACTTTCCTTTCTTCCCTCTTGGTTTTACCTGACCGCTTCTTGCTTTTCCTCTTCTTTGATTTACTTCGTTTTTTCTCTTTTATTTCCTCTTTTTTCTCGGGTTTTTGAGTAGTCAACGGTTCTTCGTCAGAATCAGCGGAGTCCTCTGAATCAGCTTTAACCATTTTTGGTTTATTTGAAACGCTATAAATAATTAAATAATTTCTTAAAAAATCGTTTAGTTCTGTTGGCATTTCTCAGTAAATAGAAAATTGTTTCTTTTCTTGAATGTTTACGCAACTATGGCAGGTTCAAGAAGAAGTGATTAACCTGACAGCAAAATCCTTATGCCTACGATATAGGTATATTTTATATTCAAATGGAAATGGGAAATAAGCTATATTGGTATGAGTTTTTAGAGAAGGTAGGTTTAAGTAAGAATTTTTCTCATATTTCATATAAAATATGTAACATACATATTTTAAAATTATAGCTCAGTATCATAAACATATTTCCTTTATGGCTCACCTTTCTTCCCTCAAGGCTAGTCTATCTTCTTCGTCGCTAAATTCAAAAAAATCAAATATGATTATAAAATATGACTCCTATATTTCACATTACATATAAGTAATAATTCGCTATATTATATTTTAAAATTACCCTATAAAAGATAATATCAATCTGACTAGAATTTAATCCCTTTTCGTATTGTGTACAGATATTAATAATCCATAAAATTGACGCGAAAACATTAAATAAAACAAGCATAAATTTTTCAAAAGTCAAAACACAGTAAAAAATTATAAGAAAAACCAACCTGTCGTCATCGTCTCTATCATTATTGCTGCAATAGAATAAACATTGAATTAACAAAATATCAAATAATATTTGTAATTCAAGTATTTACAATATAAACTATTTAATAAAACGATTACTAAATTCTGTGTGAATCAAGGTTACTTAAAGTACGTGCAAAAAAAATTTTTTAATAACACTTGTTTGTTTATGGAAAGGTTAACTTTCTGTCACAGTTTCTTGGAACAAAAATCATGTTTTTCCAAAGGCATCAAATTTTCTGAGGTGATACATAAACTTAGGTCAAGTACACATATTTTTTATGTATAGCTTTTAGATTTTTTTCTTGGTTTGACCTTGTTGTTATGAAATAAGTAGTAAAGTGTTTAGAGTGATGCATGTTTCATAACCTCAATGTATTTGGGGAGATTTGATCCTCTTCCCACACAAATCATTTAGAGCAATCATGTAGGTAACAATGTACACTTATGACCGTCAAAAAAATAAATATGCATTAAATGCTTCTAATTTTACATTTACTGCCAGTTCTCAAATCAAGGGCGTAGAACGGAAGAGAAGAACTGACAATAAACTCTCCGCCACTCTTTTTAATCGCCAAGTTTTTGTTTTACACAACGTTTGTAAGGAGCTGCAACCATTACACCATGTTCCACATGTGTTAGGTTCTTAGTCCTAATAATTATGAGGTAATATTAATTACTTTAGAACTCGCTCGTACGGTAAAAGAAAATATAAATAGAAGGTAAACCGGAATGCCTTAGACCTAACAATTAACGTCGTATGCACGACGAAGACGGCAATTGAAACATGAACCACATAGCGTAGATTCTACTAATAATAATTGACCTTGACAAATGATGACGAAACAGATAGAGAAATCTAAGGCTGACCTCTAGGGGATAGCATCACTGGTTATTTTTATTAATTAGCAATGCTGTTTCAGATTAATACGAACCTGGTAGTAGAACCCTTTGTTTACAACGTGAAGGGGCAACCATTACACCATGTTCCAATGTGTTAGGTTCTATCCTAATAATTATGAGGTAATATTAATTACTTTAGAACCCTGTACGATATAATGCCTCCTTATTGTATATATATTGATATTAAAACATAGAGAAATCTAAGGCTGACCTCTAGGGGATAGCATCACTGGTTATTTTTATTAATTAGCAATGCTATTTCAGATTAATACGAACCTTTCAGCTCTATCGTCATTGTCTCTGAAAAAATGGGATTTATATGAGTTTCGTTTAGTTTAACCCACTTGGTAAAAAAAACTTAAACTAAACGAAACCATTTCACATATTTTTTACATTGGTAAAAAATATGTGAAATGAAGAAAAAACGTACTCATCCACATTACTCCAATCAACTGAAAATTCCTCATGCGTAATGCCTGTTCGGAATACACGTCTACAGTTCTCTCTGAAAAGAATACACAAAATTAAGAGAAGGGCGTCACATACCACATCTTTATATTTGTTATTGTGTTGTTGATTTAGTCATATGGACCCGATATATATGCAAGCAGGCGATAAATATGCTTTCCAATCTAAAAAATTTGTTCGAACAGCACTGGTACTCTGAAACTTTTAATAGTGATTGCAACCCCGACTTCAGTGTTCCAACCTTTTTGGTGTGTATTCGATTCGCACAGTCCCCCATTCCCCGCTTACACCAGTAGCTTAATAGTGAAGTGAATTGTTTATACTGTGATTTTAAAATGTACTTAGAAAAGACTAATGGATAGCAAACGGTTTTCTGGTAATTTTTAATTGTATAATAGTTTTTAGTTGAAATTTAGCCATACGTAAGCTGTAAATAAATAAATAAATGTTGAGTTTTTATACCACGCGTTCTCTTCAACTTGGTCCTCTGTAAATTAGAAATGCAGTGCTTAAAATAAATGTGGTAAAGTAAGCATTTGTATGTAATTTAAGTAAACAAAGGCTATTACTTGATTGCCAACCCACCTAACTCAGAAATTCCTCGATCACTCGTGTTTAACTCATCGCATCTAATGTAAAGTACCTAACATATAATACGTTAGAATCTACCGTTATTAATTATCCTTACTCAATATCCTTATTAATAGAACACGAGATGAACTGGCGATTCTTAAATACGCTGGTGTAGAGGAAGGGCCCGTGGCAGTTGTGAGTCTTGGGGTCAATCTTGCAGGCCGATATCACGCCGACAACTCGCTCCTTGCCTTGATATTTTACTAACAGTGGTCCACCGTGATCGTTCTAAAATGATCGATAAAGGTATATATGAATTATATTATTTATTATATTATATTTAATTTATTAAGTTTTGTGCCTTGTACAGATTCAATATAGTACGAGATTCTAATTTATTTACTTATTTCGTAATCCTACAGCTAAAAAACAATTATACTAAAAATATAGCTTAATATAAAAAACATAATATTTACCTACAAAAAGTTTCAAAAATTTACAAAAGGGAAAAAAACAATAAAAATTATTCAATACATTTAACTAAGTACCTAAAACCTAATTTGGCTGTGTTGTGTTATGATGTAAAAGTGATGGTAAGTACGTGAAGCTGTGTATTTGGGCTTGGGCTCAGAGATAGTACTAATTAGTAAATAATATGAATTATCATAGCCAATCGAGTGCCTACACGGAAACACAATATCATCAATCCTGCGCCTATACAATGTGTTTAATAACTATTTATAATTGATTTTTTCTGCTTTCCTAATTTGTGTTAGGTATGGCCTTGTTGGCGCGGCTACAAAAAAATTAATTAATTAAATACATACCACATATGAGCTTTTTTATTACCTCACAAAATCCACCCTGTTTATACGCGCGTCTAGCTGTGTAGTCGTCAGGATCGCGGAGATGTCTCCCCAAGTCTACATGGATAGATTCCTCATCCTTGCGATCCTCCAGTTGCCGTCTTACTTCAACGTCGGTGCAGTTTGCATATTTCTTCTGATAAGTCAATTAAAGCGTGTAAAATATTTAAGAAACAATTTTTTTTCGCATTCATTTGTTTTTAGTAGCGGTCTTCCGATTGACCTAGTGTCTAGAATACTCAAGAATCAAAAACAATGAAAATAGTTTTGGACGTACATAGCAAAAAGTACGTTATTACAATTGAAATTACATATTACCATTATTTCCAATAGTACATCCTAAAATTAAGATAAAAGTTAAAATTATATGTATATAAAATTATTAAAAAATATTTGTTTTTAAATGTTACCACGAATGTTCACTTGTTCGACAAGACTGTTGTTTTTAATGCAATGCATTGACTCCTTCAGGGCAGATATAACATATTATCTGGTAACGTCTGTGGTGTATAAGTACCAAAGTGTTTTAAACGCATTTTAATAGTTAAATGTGTGTTTTTAGTAAAAGAGACAATGAAATACTTACATCACAAATTTCACTGAGACGCTTCATGACATCCTTAGTGCAGATCATATACTGTGTAATGATACTTCGGAAACGCTGCGCCCATTTCTTGGCACATTGTTCGTTATCCATCACACAAACTTTGGCATCTTGTAGGTACTTTGAATTTTCTGGTATATGGACACTGTCACTTCGGTAGACACCCTGGATAAATTGATTGTAGACACTTTTCAGTACTTTAGACTTATCTATCCTTAGTAGAATTACAAAAAAAAACACGGCTGTGATGTGTGACATATGGATTCCCATAGCATCTGCACAGATTTAGAGTTAAGCTAAATAAGCAGCATTTTTCTTCTTTGTCCTTTCAACAATACAGCTGATATTACAATATTATAGGTCCTGACTGCCTGCCAATTTATGGCTACATCAGATAGATAGGTACAACAATGAACAAATTATACGAATGAACACAACAGAGACAAACTTCAAGTAAATAATTTTGAACAAAAGCTTAAGAGACATTTTAAAAATTTGCTGCAATTACAAAAACTTGTTTACATAAATAAGTGGTACTTAATCATATTTGTTACAAATGCTATATTGCTAATATATATACACACATAAGTAACGTAATACCTCCGACGACTATATATAGTATATTCTTTGGCTAACCAAAGAATATACATATCTAAAAAAATGTGTGTTACATAGTTGTCTAATTAAAAAAACTGTAACACAAAAATCAAACAGACCTTGTAGACCTTGTAGGACAATATAACATTATAATATCATGTAACCTGTAATAACCCACTATATATTATATCTCTATATATATACTCGTAATTGGGAACCAGAAAAGGAGGGTAATGTAGGGTAAGAAAATTCGTTTATGTAGGTAAAGAAAATATTTGATTGTTATGGCCTTGTAGTTAGTATATAGACATTTTTACACACACACGGACACAACTATTGAAATGACGATGTGAGTCCTCTCACGTGTAAACTGTATGCAATGGAAACTTATAGAAATTTTATACAAATAAAAACCTCTCTAAACTGGTTCCCACTCCCCCATCCAGCGATAAACCCTTTGGTTCCCGCTTTCTCCAGCTCCCGGCTGACGTTGTTATAGCACACCAGATCAGTTGCAAATTCACATCCACTCTCCAAAACACCAAGTTTGAACGGTTTATCAACTTTTACAATTGCTATGTCATTGGCTGACCATTTAATGCTGTCTTGGAAGTCAAATTTGTAGTCTAGAAAGATAGGTTTCAATATTCTATATTGTATACACGATATATTATTGTATGAAGCTACAACTTGTTATTGGATTTTAAGGAATATCTGCGTCAAATTAATAATAATGATGTATCATTCTTAACGAAAAATCTGAACTAAATTTCACTCCTTCGATTGTTTTTGCTTCTAATCGTTACGTACAATCGTATTAAATAGACATTAATAAAACATTTACTTCTGAAACTATTTCCTTCCCTGTAGTAATAACTAAAAGTTCATCAATTATATGCGTTTGAAATCAGATTTAGTATTAAGACTTTTTAGATTTTTTTGTACCAAAGCATCCACTTACTCTTTGGTATACACTTCCAAACCACCCTCCGTCGACGTTTACAAACACACTCATCTGATTTATAGTCAAAGCTGTCCACGAATTTGGTCGTGCCAGAGACTATATAGAAGTGATCAGCGTCTTCCACACAAGCTGCAGAAGTGAGGACGTAGAGGGGATGGACGATTACTCCTCCGCAGAGCCAGCCACGGTATTTGTGGGCTTTTGCAGACTCTTTTGTTAGTTGTAGGTATACCTGTTTATTATAAAGAGCATATATCTAAGGGTTTTATCTAACGATTTCTAGGGAACAAAAATACCAATTTTCCTCAATAGACAATTGTAATACCCATAAATTATTTTAATTGTAATTCTATGACTTCTATTGTCTTACAAACGTGCCGACAAAAATATTGTAAATTTATTTTTTACTCCACACTTTATTACTTGTACCTCCAATATTATTAGGTTTCCTAGAAAAGCGGTGCCGTTAACTAACGGCCGTCATTTTACGGTTGTTATTAACGGCCGTCTTTACTTTTTAACGTAATGCAAAAAAACAATCATTGTCGCTCGTCCAAGTTACGTTTCCACTCATTGTATTAATTAAATATGGGCACCGCTACACGCGAAAATCTTTGAACTTATGTTTATCACCGCTATGACGGCCGTCATGCAAATGACAGCACCGCTATTTGATGTTACGGTGATACTTAACGTTCTCTAGAAAACCTACTCCGATGTTTTTTATAGACAACGTATGGGTGACGTCACCCAACGTTACATTACCGCTGTTAGATAACGGCACCGCTTTTCTAGGAAACCTAAGCTTAACGCAAGTGGCGCCGATAAGAATATCGTAGATTCGGAAGTACTCTGTGAAGTGTATTTATTTTACCTTTAAAATTATAAATAATAATGGTTACCATGTATGGCCGCTTTCCTATAGCAACTCTTTTGCTGTATAAAATCCTTCTAGTGTCCACAACAGTTGTGTTTTCAAACTCCCACCCTTCATCAGGTATTTCGTCTTTCGTAATATTTTGTGAATGTTTAATTATTGTATCATTTTGTTTATGTGTTGCCTTTGTCGGATTCGATACAGCTATCCCTATAGTTGATTAACTATTTAATATTCACATTTCACCAAGTTTTGTGGATAAAGAAAAACTTTTAAGACTTTTATTCTTGCGAACACACATAAAAGATAACTCAATATTAAAATCGGAAGCAGGATTGCTATTGAAGTAAAACGTTAATTGGTTTGAGTTTACCAATATTACATTATATATTATGTATATATATACATAAACCAATAATAAAATGTATATGTTAACTGGGGCCCTCCATATTAATCGTATTAAAATTGATTAACAAATTCTATTCCTCCACTTACAGCGCCATCTACGGAGCATGCGTTGTTATATCCATAGGTTTTTTGTAGTAGTTTTGCGTTTAGTATTATGCCTAAACGAAGGCAAGGTTCTCTAAATATATAAATAAATGTTTCTTACCTAAGCAAAAACAAACACATAACGCCAACAGAACAGTCGTCATCTCAAGCCTAAAACCAATTTCAAAAGGCAATATTTATTTAATATTTTTAATAACATGCTCAATTAATAAAATTTAATTACAAAATTGATTATTTCTTAAACAAGGGAATGATTTTTAATTTTTACATTTTACGCTTCAAGACCATGTTATACTTATATATGGTATATTTTTATATTTATATTTGTTCGTTCTGTTGAATCATGGTTTTCTAGAAATACATACTAGGGAACGGTAGAAATTATGAAAAAAGGGAAAAACTTAACTTTTTTTGCAGTGGCGGATTTAAAAATTTTGAAGGTATAGGCAGGCTCTGAAGTTTTTGCCGTCCTTTCCTCTACAATTGTCATGTCCTAGATTATTTTTAGAATCCAACAATTTCGTCGCACGGAAACAATTTTTGGGTTTGTTTTTTGAGCACAAAATTATACACAAACCATCCTGTTCGCCACAGCCTCTCACCAGTAGTAGGACAGGCATGTATAGGTTGATAGGGGAAAGAGGGAAGAAGGATTTTCATTTTCTGCAATTACGCTCTTTTCACTCATACAAAGTGTGAGCTGCTGTTTGCGGTTGGGCAAAATTTGTTGAAGACTTCTTTCCGTAAAACATCATAAAACCGTCATGCAGAAAGCTTTTTGGTTTCAATGAGGTACCAACACAAAAACTGTTCCCAAATTTGCCCTAGGCTACAGTCTACTCAGCCTGCTGGTAAATAGGCCACTGTGTTTTTGTTATATGTTCTCTCATAAATAATATTATTTTCATGTCTTTTCTATATTTATTCTCGAAAAAAAAATGCTATCTTTATATTACGAGGATATCTTATCAAACTTAACTCTCTTTATTTCTGCTCTCGGAAAGCAGATGTAGGTGCATAAAATTTAAATTCATTACAATAAGTTTTTTAATTATGTAACAGATTTTGAAGTTGTAAAAACTTAATGAATTATTTTTTATAACTCAACCGTATACGAGTTAAATTTAGACACAAATATTTTTAGTCTTCAAGATTAAACATTTATTATTGTCATATAAATTGAAATAATAAAAAAATTCACAATTAAAATTTATTATAACTCAAGATAATGTTTTATTAGCGTGTCTAAGATCGTCAGCTCTCATGATGAAGCCACTTCCAGCAAAGACCTTATCGTCTGCTGCGTCGAGAGACTTCCCAGGAGTTGACGGTTGCAGCTCATTCTTTGCTGGTCTGTGAAAAAAATTTAATCGCGAAAACACGATAATTGTTTAGAGCCACATTAGAAAGGGCGCTCCCTTTTAAGGGTAAGCAGGATATATAATGTAGTAACTGTAAATATATTATGTTATTAACACATTCGAAAGGTAACCGACGAGGTAACGATTTTAAATGATATAAAATTTTTTTTTCAAATTAATAAAAAAGTTTTAAGATATTCACCAAAGGCCAAGTGATATATCTATCCATTAATGATCATTAGTTAATTGATTTAAGATTTCTGTATTTGTTTAATTGTAGTTAAGCAGATGGTCAGGCTTCTAAGTTCAAGTCAAATTCAAGACTCACTTTTGTCAAAAACGTAATAGGCATTTGGCAGACGGAAGTCGCGACTATTCCTACACTTAAACATTCTGGTTTCCTCTAGATAGTTTTACGGTACGAGCAAATTGTGAACAAAGAAAGAATTCCATTGGTGCACAGCCCGGGTTCGAACGCACGACCCAAGTGTTGAAAAGCACATGCTGGTGTTAGTATTTAAATGAAATTACCCATCGGGATGATTCTTCCAAGATAACGTTTTTTCTACGTGTGTGACACCGGAACGGAATTGTCGTCGACATTTTGGTCTAGAATTGAAGAAATCGTTTAATTGGTATGTGTGGGAATTTTAGTTATAAAATATTTTTCAGTAAATATCAATTTACTTTTCACATGACACATTTTTAACATTATTAAGAAATTAAACAATTTAAATGCTGTGCCGTCACTGTGTCTAAACATACAATACATATATATATATATATAGGGTGAAAAGTCAATTTTATATGACAGGAATTTTTTTGTGTACAAATACTACTATGTTTTACTATATTCACTTATTTTTATATTCGCTTAATTAAATTATTTATTTTCCCATAAGCCTGCATAATTTGGAACACATTTGTAGCATATTTCATTTTTCATTATGGTAGTGTGAGCTTGGTACACGAAACAGTTACGGTTGCTTCGGGAATCGCACCTAGACACCGGGTTATATTCTGTCTGTAAAGTCTATTTTCTTTAAACTGTAAAAGGTTGTACCCTAATTTTGTAACTACCCTAAAAATATTAAAAACATCTTTTGTGAAAGTACTTACTCCACATCTTTGTAAATAGCACAAGATATAAATTGTCGGTTTTTGAAGACACTGGTGTATAGGAATGGCCCGTAGCACTTATTGGTTCTTTCTTTAACGAGACACGCTGAAATGACCCCTATTACAACTGAGTTTACGCCTTCGCCGTATACAAGGGGTCCCCCGTGATCGTTCTAAAAAAAAATTTACATTTGCCTACTTCCGATGGATTATATGATAAAGTTTTTTTATATATTTTCGTTTAAGTACAGTTTTTTAAACATTACATTGGTTGTTACGAAGATGGGTTTGAGTGAATTTATGACCGTTTCAAGAGAAAAAATTTCAGAATGGTGACATATTTTTCAGGCTGTTTTCAGGAAACCCATTTCAGGTATTATCATAAATGGTTACTGATCGAATTTACGTTAGTCTTATCTTCGATTAAAATGGGACAAATTTCGTTAACGACTGCATTATTCAATTTAATTCACAGGAGCTGCAATACAAAAAATAAATAGACTACTTACGAACACTCCGAGATATATACAGTAGAACCTCGATAACTTAAACCTCGGTAACATAAAAACCTCTGTTACTTCAAAAAATACTATGTTCCCTTCCCATCAGAGCCCAAAACCTCTATAACTTAAAATACGCAACCTCTATAACTTAAATAAATAATCTCTGTATAGGCCCTCAGTAACTAAAAGAAATGTTTCCACAACCTCTATAACATAAAATTGTTTGTGAATGAGTCATTTTGAAAGAGTGTCAAAACAAAAGATTTCGGTATTTATTGCTTGCACGTGTTTACTAATGTATTGTTAACGTAAACAATACATTACCTATTGTTTGCTTTATCTAAATTCTTCAAAGCTTTGCGGCGGTTAGCTTTGTGACAACGACTTACTTGCATCATAAGTTTTTGATCGTTGTCCTGGAAGTAATGTGAATAAATATGATTACATATTTAATTTTCAGTATTTTATTGAACCCATCCTTCTGATGCATTCGAGTAAAAATGGGAGCAAGGGTACATAGAAACATATACATACCTCTATATTAACCTTTACCTAACATAGAACCTTGATAACTTAAAACCTCTATAACTTAAAATATTTTGTGTTTCCCTTGGACTTTAGCTTATCGAGGTTCTACTGTATATATAATATGTCGGAGCAATGCCGCGAATCGGGTGTCATTATCATTATTTTGTTTCGATTTGCTAGATCTAAATTATTTCCTATAATACAAACCTTTAAACTGTAAAACTAAAAATTCTAAAATTACATTATGCAGCATCATAAGGAAAACAGCAGAAAAATACTTTTGTACCTCACAGAAACCTCCGTCAGCCTGGGAGACGTATCTCCGTGTCCCATTTGTGTCATTGTGGTACGCGGAATGCATCACCAGGTTCGTTGGTACCTTCTCTGACCTTATCACCTTTATCTCCCGCCTCATATCCTCTTCATCCGAGTAATGTATGTCCTGACAGTCTACGTATTTTTCCTGGACATATAGCCAAATATTAAATATTAATTCAATAGCGATAGCGATATCGATAGCCATAATTGACGTTTTTGATGCCACTTCCCTGCTGATTTTGGAATTTTGGTATTGCACTAAAACCCAATAATCAAGTCGAAATCGCTATGGCTGTCGCTATTGGGAGATGCTTATTAGCATTCGCGCCAATACACTTGTTTATTTTATTTTAAAGGTTACCAAAGTCGAATGAACCTAACACCTATTTTATTTCTTAAATAGATTAATAAGAAAACCTTTTTCATACATTACAAATCTCCGACATAGTCTGTCCGATATCCTTAGTACATATCATATAATTGTCTATGATGTTGTGATAGCGCGCCCCCCAGCGCCGCTTGCATCGGTTCTTAGGAATAACCTCCACGTGCGCTTCTAGAAGGTTCTGTTGATTCTCCTTCCTACGACTAACCCACTGAAAATACATAGACAAACTTTCTCATCACTATTTCTCTTGAGAATGTTATTAAAAACGAAGAACACCACGCTGAGTCTAAATCACGGGGGAGAGGGGCACGGCAAAGTCAATAGGCGCAGCGCCCGCCAAATGGAGTAAAAAACCGACACAGCCTACGGCCTTCGATTACTTTTCTCGAACCATTTTCGATATAACTTCGTTGTGGGCCGCAGATAATTTGTTTGTTAATTTTTATTTCATAAATAAGTAGGTGATCAGCCTTCTGTCTGACATATTTCGTCGATTTTAGAATGAAACATCCCGCGTTCCTGGCGTTTTCTTTTACCTTATAAGCGAGTATTTAATGTGCCTATAGGCAGAAAGATCATTAGCGCACGGCTGGGGCTGGACCGACCTCAGAGATAAGAGTCAAAATCAAATTGTATATTTATGTTAGTATATATATCTTAAAAAATCTAGTGGAGCTACAACCCTAAATGTGCCTTGGCCGCAGATAATTTGTTTGATAATTTTTATTTCATAAACAAGTAGGCGATCAGCCTTCTATCTAATACATTTCTTTCATAAGCGAGTATTTAATGTGCGTAGGTATAGGCAGGAAGTTCATAAGCGCACGGCCGGGGCTAAACCCCCCCAAAAAATGGCCCCCCCCCCTTTTTCTCTTTTTTTTTTTTTTTATTAATAAATAGAAAATGTATCTACCTCATTATATCTAGATGTTGTACCCCAACCGGCAATGGTGACAACAGTCCCAGGATTTTCGAGAGTTTGACTTTGGTTATTATAACAAATGGGTTTAGGCACAAAATCGCAACCTCTTATTCGTCTGTTGAAGTCAAATCCATCTTCTATTTTGACCACAGCTATGTCATTGTTCATCCATCTGATGTTATCGTTTTCGTGACCATCGAATATATAATCTAGAACAATTATTTTTTGAAGGGGGTAACGTTGAAACCTTTTCCCTTCAATGTAACACATTAGTGCGTCCATGGTTTTTAATGCCAATATTATTTACCCAGAAATCGAATCAAAGTTGTCATGTGCGGTAATTACCGAACCAGGAAGGAAATAAAACCTGGGTTTGCAGCTTCATGGATCTGTAATTAAGCCTGAAAATATATGAGTATACGAATCTGTACACTAACAGAATTTCCTAGACCTGATTTAAAAATAAAAATCAAACAATTTACAAGAAAACATTACAGAGGAATGGACGAACCAACGTCTGTTGCCATCGGCAATTTTATTTACCACATATTGAATGAAAACATCGCTATGAATCTGTAGCGACACCTAAGTACAATCATGAAACCTAATCACTGAAACTAGGTACAATCAAGAAACGTGTTACTACGACCTCAAAAGATATACAATATCTGGACCTTAGCCACTGGGGCTTTCGGGTCAGTGGTTAGACTGGTAGAGGATCCCTTATGATGGAGGAACTGTTCACCATCAATCCTCCACAAATCCAACACTTTTTCACTCACAATATCTTCGAGAAAAACATAAGTTGCCATGTCGTAATAAAAGTTTGTTAAAAAATGAAAACAAATAAATCTACATACTTTTAGGAACACACTTCCAAATTGCCTTCTTCGCGCCATTTTTGATACACGGGTTGTTGTAACGATCATCTTCATCGGAATATCTAGATGTACAAAATTTTCGGATTAACTATCGCTCATTTATTTGTACCAGCGGCATATATGTTAATGAAACAATACGTATTTTAGTCCAGGAACAGGCAAATAAATAAATGTATATAATACAGAGACCTCACTACTTATTTGGCATGGCTCTGAGGTTACAAAAACTAACACAAACACAGCGCACACTTATTACAACCCTCAGCCTCTCAAATACAGAGTGTATAATACGCGCACACACCCATTCAAACACTCTTACATTCACGCATACTTAAGATTTTATACGACTTTTGTTTGATTATATGTAACACGAAGACTACTTTTTCTTTAAAATATTGTTTTAAACAAGCACCATGCACCACAGAATAATTGTTCACACCTCAACTATAGCGACGTAGATAATATAATAAATATATCCAAATTATGTTTTTTTTAATTAATATTATATTCTTAAGTATCCTATTTGTATTTTATCATGTTGGCCAATGTCATGTCTTACTTATACGTCCCAGAAACGACATAAAAATGTTCAGCATCCTCGATACAAGCAGCAGAAGTGATAATGTACTCCTCATGCACAATAACTCCACCACACAACCATGTTCTGTAATTTGGCTTTTTCTGATTGCTTCTAGGCAGTTTCAAATATACCTAATAATGTAAAATAATTATAGTAAAGAGATTTTATGCACGCATAGTCCTAATTTTAATTTCAAATAAATTCGGGTGACGGTAACACACTTTGTCTGGCCGGGAATTATAATTGTTTTTATATCCAAAAACAATGACGTTATCGTATGGTAATAATTAAAATTACCGACTTATTTAATGACTTAATAAACAAAATCTTTATTTTATAGCAGAATTGTTTGTTAAAGGCCAATCCAAGGTTGTATTGTTTTGTGTGACCAAATATTTTCTTGACGCGGAATATCTACAGATTTAGGGCCAAATGGAATTTCCTTTTCTTAATTTTTATGACAATATATTATTTATTACTAATACAGTGTTTACTTAAGTTTCGTTATACTGACTATTTACCTGTTACCCATAACAGTCGCTATAAGACTGTTGTTAATGAGGATGTCACGAGTGTTTGTATGAGTTGCTAGTCATACCTTAAAGATGGACAGATGTATGACCATGTTTTGAGATGACCAGACTATCTTGTATATAGCTTACAGGCTTGTATAGTACTTGTACCATAAAAATTCAATATAAATTCATGATAAAAATATCGGGACGTAAACTTGCCAGATCTTACCCAGACTTACTGTTAATTATATTATTTTATTTACGTGGCGAGAATCATACATACCATGTAGGGTCTTCCATCTGTTACTTCCTCGCCATTAATAATTCTTCTAGTTTCGGATAGATTTAGTAACTTGTTCACTTCCGGTGGAAGGTGAGTGGCGACATCTATAGCCTGCACATCTGAATTAAATAACAGTTAAAATATAAATTGAAAATCAACATTGAAAGAATATTTTTGTCCTTAAAGGAAGACAGTTATAACGAATAAAAACGCATACGAATATAACAATCTATAAACTGGCACAAGCAAATAGTTTGTATTTCAAACATGTAACAATTCTCGCATAATTACGTAACCGACTCGTGGCTAAATGGATATCGAATCACAGCCGAAGAATTATTGTTTGAAGGCATACCTACTGTATACCTACTTGCTTGTCTTAGAACAAAATAAATGAAACCGACAGAAATGTGTCTATCTTATGTCATAAGGAGTTATGACCTCAAAAATAAAGGGACGAAAGTTTTCAAAAAAACTTACGGAATATGGAAAAAATACAAAAAATATATGTATAATACTTCATAACTTTTTACAAAATATGAAAGGGAATCACAATCTATTTTTTATTTCCCAATTTTACGCTTTGACTGCTGAAGTATTCACAAAAATAATTATAATTAAAATTCCGTGACGCATAATAATTAACTTAAGAATACTGCTAGCGGTTTAGCCATTAAAGTTTGAAAAGTAGCCTACGTTGTACGAGTATATTTTGCCGACTTTAAAATCCCAAAAGTTTTAATAACGTATTTAAAAAACTTGAATTCTTAAGTTTCAACATGTAATCTTTTATAATTGTCATGGGTTTTTACCGCCATATCAAACATAAAAATGAATGGCATCTCTTGATGTCTATTAGAATACTATTACTGATTAAACTAGTCCTGGTATTCATAATAAACATAAAAAAGCGAAACAATGTTTTGTCAATATAAATTAAATAAATCTCATATCTTAAAATCATCTAAATCTATAATGTAGACATACATAATGTCAATCGATTTATACCAAAATTCATTTTGATGTAGAAGTGTGAGGAGAAGTCCCATTTTTTGTTTAAATAAAAATTCAAAAACCTTAGACAAATTATATTGTAACATTCTTTAAATTCTCTTTGCTATCCGAAGTTCTTAGAATAACACCGCCATGTTGAATAATTTTATCAAACGGCGTCGGTATGGATTTTTCTGTGCCGTTAACTTGATCTTTGTTGCGTCTCATTTTTGAAATTTCATTCTTGGCAGGCCTGTAAAAAGAAAATTATTTATTATTTTTTATAGAAAGTGAGGGAATCTTTCACTGTGGTTTTATATTGAACCCACATGGCGAGTAATTCAGGTCTTAATCTAACCAGCCTTGCGATTCTGTAACTCACTTTTCGAACTCACACAGCGGTTTTCACATACCGTTACTCTGATAAGGTGGGAGCTTGTAGTTTATTGTTTATAAGAATGCTAAATCGTAAAATGACATCTTTACGACTGATTTGAGCGCGACCGCGGCTGTGAAAACCGCTGTGTGAGTTCGAAAAGTGAGTTACGGAATCGCAAGGCAGGGCTCCATTTAACCTGAATAGAAGTTAATTTACACTAAAAATTACGGTACGAGTATCATATACATATTATTTCTGTATCTTTTTCTAATTTAAAAATCATTATCAAAAATAGTTTGTATCAAATTTAATGACGTGGAATAATTGATGATAATTGACATGTATCTTATATTCCACAATAAACATATTTATTTTTATTTTTTCATATATTACTTTAAAAAGAAATGTTAGACAACTAAGCCCCGTCTCGCTGTCTGATCGTGATTTACTCAAAAAAAACACGAATTTGTAGTCAAGGAGCGCGAACGTAGCTAGTTAATAAATAATAGTTTAAAAAAACTAAAAAACACGCTTTTAAAGCACATCAAACTAAAAAGTGAAAAATAATTCCTAATTTAGGCTGAAAATGGTAATGAACAAAAAATACTGGTATTATTGTAAAAAAGCGTGGGTTGCTCGATAGACGAACAATATGGGACAGATTTTTTAGTTTTTAAACTATTATTTATTTTTTATTTTTTAGTTTATTTTTTTTTAATTTTTTTTTTCGGATTATTGCATTGTCATCGATTTTTGACAGTTGCGCAAAGTTTGAATTAAATCTGTCCGTTAAAAGTGGGTCAAAATCGAGTCCGAAGTAGTCGGTTACATACATACATACATACAGGTGAAGCTAATATAAAGCGTGTAAAAAGTAAAGAAAAATACCCATCTGGATGATCAACCCAACTGATATCTTCTTCAATATGAGTCTCACTGGCCCGGAAGAGCTTAGAACAGTCTCCTCTAAAAACAAAACAATAATTTTGCATAATACAAATCACTGTCACTGTCAAATGACCGGTTTTTTTTTAATTACGTTGATTGACAATAACAGAGTTATTTTAGAAAATTAAGTTTACAAATAACAGCCTCATTGCGTTAATAAACAATAAACTACGCATTTCAAATCCTGCACATTTTTTAGAATGTTATAAACCTTATAAAATAAAAAAGTTACAACATGGCACCGAGTCTGAATTATTTTGATTAACAAACAAATTTTTTGCAAACTATTTATGAACCATAATTATTAAATTTATTAATCTTATTTCTTATTTTACGAATAATCTAACAACTATTCAAAAAATTCATCATTATAATGCCACAACACCCCTGAGAAACATAGACCATAATATTGATTTCGTAATATTAAAATATCGCTCCTACGTTATATTTTCTTTTAATATTATGTTCACCTTTATTGTCATAGACACTGAAGAAAATTGTATTATTAATGATATGGTGTGTATATTATATAGAATACAATGGTTGGGATTTGTGAAGTTAAAATCCTTTCACGTACTTGACATCCTTATAAATAGCACAGTTGATAAGAATCCGGTTCTTAAAGACACTGGTGTATAGGAATGGTCCGTGACATCTGTTTGTCCTCTCTTTAACAAGACACGCTGAGATCACGCCTATTACCACAGCATTGGGCCCTGTACCATGGACCAAGGGTCCGCCGTGATCATTCTAAAAACGAGCGATGAATGAATACTGTTGCATTTTTATTATTGCAGTAGTAGCATTATTATGTGGGAATTGGAATGTCGCTATATGGGAACGAAAGATTTTTTTATCAGCTATATTTTATCGGTTTCACGATCAATTTAAAATTAATTAATTCATACAAGTTATTGTCTCATTCCGCTTACAACTTTTACGTTTGTGTTTTTGGGAGTGTTTTCTCTCGTATTGTTTTTTCCATACTGTTCCATAGGCTGGCCTATTTGAGCGAACGACTCAAGTCTAAAGCCTGAATTAGAAAACAAGACGAAAGAAGACAAATCAAATAGATATGTTTATAAACGAAATTAACGTTTGCTCGTATAGTGTAGTTATAAATATTGTAAGGAAACCGGCATTTCTTGTTTCTTAGTCCCAAAAACGGCGATTACCTATTTGTCTATAAATAAAAATGATCAAAGAACAATTAACATGAAAAGTTAAACGTTAGTTAGTTAACGGATGACTCTGAGTACGACGTTAAACCCTACAAAAGAATTGTCAAAAGAACCTACTTCACAGAAACCTCCACTGCCTGCCTTCTGTCGCCTCCCAGACTCGTGTATAGCGTTATGAACAATTGTTTCGTTTGCGTTCGCTCGTCTTGCGTCTCCCGAATCGAATTCCCCTGAATACATTATATCAGTGCACTCTGTGTATTTCTCCTGTAAGAGTTTTTTAATCTATACTAATATTCTAAAACGGAAAGATTTGTGTTATGTGATGACCTTCAAAAAGTATTTCACTATTAACTACTATCACATCACTAAGTAACATAGGCCGTATTTATTTATTCGCTTATTCCAACAGCTTCTTATATGTAAACAATTAAATTATACACAAAAAACGGATCATTCAAATTCAATTCAATAAACACAAAACACAGTAAGCAATTATTATTTACTATGAGAAAAAATATATATACTTAATAAATTGTAAGATGCATTGATCATTATTATATGTTCAATATAAAAAATAAATAACATAGATTTTACTAAATCTAATAAAGGTTACCAAAGTTTTTATATTATTTTTAAAGCATTTTAGTAACATTAAATTTATCATTTTGTACGTAATTTGTGTTATAATCTGAAGATATACATACGATACATCATACATATACATACGATTCGTTGTCACTATAATATGCCAGGGCTGCCAGGTGACATACAAAATCACACCAGTTATTTTTAAGATTTCTCAAAAATGGGATTGGAACAATTACATAAATAATATAAATAAACACAATAAATACCAAATAATGTGTAATTATTTTAATTCATGCATTTCATAGGTATTTATCAAGATCATTTATAATTTCTTTGAATTCAAATTCTATTTTTCCCAAAGTCTATGGAACTCCGATACAAAATGGCAACACCGTTCATTAAAAACCGACAAAAATAAAAAGTCCAGTAAAAGATATGATGGTAAAGCAAATTTTAGGCCATTATTTTTGTTAGGCTTATAGTCAAAGTTTTTGGTAAGTCGTCGATTTCGTGGACTTGGGATTAAGCTAAGCCAACACTCGGAGAGATTCGCAGTTTGCTCTATAAATACCGACTGTGTCTTAACTCGATAGTTAAGTCAGAGCAAAGTCTAAGTGCACTATAGATCTCACCCTCAGTCGTAATAGTTTGACCGATTTTATTTCCTAAATATAAATGTCTAACCTTATGAAGCCGGGACATGCCGCTAGTCTAAAAAAATCTAATTCAAAAATATCTATCTAAATTCAAATGAGAAAATCGTATATATTAAAATATAACAGACTATGAATTAAACTAATTGATTTCATTCATGTATGTATAATCTAATACAAAAAAAAAGTTTCAGTTACAATTTGTAGAACCTAAGACAAATGCCCTCAATAAAACTACAGCTTTTAGCCAAAGCTCTTTATCTAAGGGCATTGAGGATAGGCCTTTTTTAGTATTTACTGCTTTAAGTAGTAAACGTATCATACTGGCTTATGTTTAAGTCAGAGGTTTTAGTTAAATTTACGGAAAAGAAAAAACTTACGGCCGTCATTCTACGGTTGTTAATAACGGCCGTCTTTACTTTTTAACATAATGCAAAAAAACAATCATTTTCGCTCGTCCAAGTCACGTTTCCACTCATTGTATTAATTAAATATGGGCACCTCTACACGCGAAAAACGTTGAACTAATGTTTATCACCGGTATGATGGCCGTCATGCAAATGACAGCACCGCTATTTGACGTTACGGTGACATTCAACGTTCGAAACCTACTCCGATGTTATTTAAAGACAACGTATGGCTGACGTCACTCAACGCTACATTACGGCCGTTAGATAACGGTACCGCTTTTCTAGGAAACCTAAGCTTAGGCTACGAAATATAAACCATAGATACCTGACAGGCCTCGCTGAGCTCCGGTATCGTATCCTTAGTACATATCATGTAATTGTCTATGATATTGTGATAGCGCGCCCCCCAGCGATGCTTGCATCTCGATTTAGGTATTATTATTACGTTGGTTTCTAATAAATCTTGTGTGAATCCACTCCTCTTATTCACCCACTGGAATAGGAAAGTATTTTTTTTATATGATAGGGCGGCAAAGGAGCCTACGGACAGCCCGAAGCTTTTAAACATTAGTACATAACTGTTAGTGGGTATGTTTCTGACCTTTTAGGGAGTAGTAAGCTCTTTTAAAAAAATACTATAATCTGTCGTAGCTTTACCGAATGTACTTTACAAATAGTCCATTGAAATGTTACATTTGCGGAACATTTGTTAGAGGACGCAATTTTATTTATGAAAACACGGTGTGATAAAAATTCACATAGATATAATTGTAGGCAAAGCGATTTGCTACAAAATATGTCTTTAATTTTTTTTTGTGAGATGGATAGTTTAGGATAGCCAAAAACGTGTTTTAACCCCTTTTTCCAAGATGGCGGCCGGGGGACAAGGGCGCAACCCCACAAACTTGAGTTTAAGCTTGTATTGACCCCCCCTACATATTCCATAAATAAAATTGCATCCTCTAACAATACAAGTCAGCTAAAATTCTTACCCTATATTATGTAGTATTAAATTTTTTTTATTACGATTACAAAAACTTTTATAAGTGCTTATTAATAAAAAAAGCACACGTACATAGTAAAAATATTTAAATAATTTTAATGTGTTTTATGATGCTTAAAGTTTATTGCAATGCTTTGAGCTACATATTTAAGAAACTTATTTTAATTCTAATAAGTACGATTATTAATTAAACTCACATCATTATACTTAGCAGTACTGCCCCAGCCAGCAATAGAAGCAATAGTTCCAGGTTCTTCTAATCTACTGGTAATGTTATTATAGCAAATCGGTTTTGGCACAAAATCGCAACCTCGTATCCGGCGATCAAAGTCAAAATCGTCCTCCACTTTGACGATCGCGATGTCGTTATTCATCCATCGGATATTATCGTTTTCGTGGCCGTCGAATACGTAATCTAAACATTTTTACATAATCAATCAGTTAATAACACACAATAGCAAATATAAAATTGGCGGTACCGTGCATACGTGGCATTGACTGGAAACTTAAAGTTGAAGCGAATAGGGCATATGTACTCGTATATAAATAATTGTAGCGAGCGATTTCATTTTAATACCTTATCTTGGTTTAACAATATCTATACTAAATTTATAGAAGTGGCGCCTTCAGTTTCCCGCCTAAACTTTTTGATGTTTACGTTTGCGGTGTTAGTCGGAAAATGAAAATGAGATATTTGTATGTAAATGCAACAAGAAATTGCTTGATTCGAAATCAATAAGTGGAATTTGAAGCCTTTTTTTCATTGTTCAGAGTATATGACGTTTCGTAACAACGTGAACCATGGGACAGTTATTGTTTCATCACTTATTAAGATGATCAACCAACGCGTAGTCTTGATATAAAGTGTATTAATCTCTATATAAGTACATATATATATAACATTCTCGTGTCACAATGTTCGTTCCCATACTCCTCCGAAACAGCTCGACCGATTCTTATGATTTTTTTACGCATTTTCAGTTAATCTGACAATCGGCTACTATCTTTCAAACCCCTAAGTGATAATGGGTGTCCACCCCAAAAAAAAGTTTTTTTTTTTATTCAATTTTCTAGTTTTAATTTTTTTATACATCATAAAAATACATACAATCCTTAATTTTCACTCCTCTACTATCAACCCCTATTTTTTATTATTGTAGATAGTTATTTTTATTGAACTAAAAAAATGAATAAATATACATTGCAAAACAAACGTTTTCCGGGTCAGCTAGTATTTCTATATTTGTAAGTTAAAAACGTCCGAACATTACAAGTGCACTGGGAACTGAAGACCACCAAAACATCATCTCCGCTAATCCACAGATATCACTACTTATTTGAAAACATATTATATGACTTACTTCGCGGTACACACTTCCAGATGGCTTTTTTAGCGCCATTCTTTATACACGGGTTACTTTGACGATCGTCTTCTTCACTGTACCTAAAATATTAAATAACAGCTGCTTTAACTTTTATTGTTTTATTGAAGTTGGATTGGCTAAGTCATTACACTCAACCGATATTAATTCAAATAGCCGGTACCGAAATGGTATTTATTTATATTTAAATGTAAAATACGACGATATGTACGGGTATATACTCAGAATTTTACTTAAATAAAAACACACGGTTTTCTGCAACCATCGCTATGGCTAAATATTGATACCATACAAATACAATTCAGAAATAATATTTTTACCAAATTATATACCTTCCAAATTAAGTTGGAAGATTCTACAGTATGTTAAATATAGTTTTAAGAAGTGTCACGACATTGTTACTTAACCTTCATATAATTTATGCACGTACAAACGTACCATTTGAAGCTTTAATAAGTATTTTAATCCACTGATCGTGTCTAATATACTAAAAGCCTGGCTTACCTATAAGTCCCAGAGACAATATAGAAATGTTTAGCATCTTCTATACAAGCAGCGGAAGTCAAAATATACTCTTCATGGATAATAACGCCACCACATAACCATCGCCTGTAGTCCTTATATCTTGGATTAGTTTGTGGAAGTCTTAGGTATACCTAAAATTACTGGCCTTAAATATCATGTCACATATTGTTATTTAAATACCGCAGAGCTAATCGCAAGATCATTGTCGGTGTATTCAAATGTATTTAATTACATTTACACTCAAAAAAATACCTCTTCGTCTCTTTCTTTAAAATTGTGTTTACGCTGTGATGAAAAGAGAGGGATCAGTACAGTGGAGTTATGATTCAGTTTTTATAAATTCGGTCTCGTAATCAAATGTTTAAAATAAAAGGTGTGTGCACCACGCGTTAGAAGTTATACTTCTTTGGCATAACAAGATAATAATCTTTTCAAATATTTTATTCTACGTTTGTAGAAAAAACGACACTAACAATAGAAAAAAACTAAAATGTTGATTATAGGCGAACTTCAGGGTGTCGGTTTTTTGTGACGGTGTGCGCCGCATCGTATAAATTTACTTTCATAACTTTTCCCTAACGTGCAAAAAAAGAATTACCCGTTGCGCCTTGAGCACACGGGCCAAGATCGGGTGGATTTGAATCGGTTAAATTTTTTAAAATTATTTTTATTTAAACCTGCATTCCTTTGGCGAAGTACCTACTAGTCAAAGTTTACCAAAGTGTTGTCAAGTTCGCGAGAAACAAATGCTATACGCACCATGTATGGCCTATTGTTCCGGACATCGTCCCCATTGATAATCCTCCTAGTTCCGTTTATAAGCCGCCGCAAATCAGTGATGTTCGATTTCAATATATTTTCTACATGTTCCGGTATTTTTGTCGCTACATTTAATGACTCTGAAACTAAAACACTTTTATTTGAAAAGGTCCGTGTTTAATTTGCGGTACAGAAGTCATTTTCGTAGGAAAATGTCAAAAAATTCTTTAATATTCGTTATTTTTGTCCGTCCGTATTGTTGTTTGTATTTCGCTAAAAAATAATAATATTGGCTAATATTTAACTATATATATACTATAATTGAGTTATTTCTTGTTCCAAAATGTTTAAAATTTTAAATAAAAAAATAGGACAAGTTAAAAGTTCTCTTAATTAAATTTGGTGAATGTCTCGAAAGTAGATAAAGCGTGGTCTCTGTCTACGCCTTCGGGAAGAAGGTATGAATATAAAAATTAATAAAATTATCAACATCTGTCTTAAGATTTCGGTGTCTACTAGTTATAAAAAGTGGCACAAATCATCTGTAGAAGCGTAAACATTGTATTACGTGTTTAAAAATAAGATATACTAACCAAAAATGTTCGTAAAAAACAAGCAAAAGAAAATAAACATTTTATCAAATCATGTTTTTGAATAATTACTTTTAAGTTCCGTCACGTCGACGATAATTTCACGCTTTTTGAAAATCTTAATTGAATGAAATAAATCAAAGTTTTCACCAATCACGTATACCTACACTAAACCTACAGTTTAGTTGTACTGAAGAGAAATCGAGAGAATCCATTTGTTCTTTACCTATTTTATCGAATTCAAAGCAATTCGATATATATTTAAAAATTAGTTATATCGTCGTTTAGTTAATTAGTCGTATCTACTATCCTTCTACATTTATTACGTTTGTTATATTTAATAAACTGAATATTTAACTTCGGGAGCGTTCAAGTATTACGTAACGAATTTTTTCGGGTCCTCTTGTAAAACGTTACGATGCGGGGCGGGGATAACATTACGCGTCATTGTTTATTTTCGACTTTCCAGTACTTTACACTTCATAATGGTAACTTTTAGGTATAAAGAGTCAATAGGTGGTCACGAAACGTTACGGCGCGTTACATGGGGGAGGGTCAATAATCTCCAAAAATTGCGTGACGTAATACTTGAACGCTCCCTTACCTAAACACAACACAAAGCCTGGATTTATGTCATATTAAGACATAATTCGGCAAATTCAATTATTATTTACTGGATCCCTAAATACATTTAAAAATGTAGTACAGCAAAGCCAATTACTATATTTGGTACAATGTTAAATAAATACGTATGCGATGTCAAACGCGCCAAAATAAACCGATTCGCTATAGCGGTCATTACCACAGATTAGAAGAAGTTCGAATATATTACTATCAAGAGTTATGAATAAAAATATCTAGCTATAGCGGTCATTACTATAGATTAGAAGAAGTTCGAATAAATTACTATCAAGAGTTATGAATAAAAATCATCTAATATTACCATTTAATGCAAAAAATAAGAGATATTTAATTAATTAATTTGTATTTTATTTTTATTATTATTATATTATATTAACGCAAAACTATGTACGTATTCATATTTTATTTTATACATAGTTTAAAAAATAAGTTCATAATGGTGCAGATGAAACAAAGTAAAAATTATTTCATGAAATATATAAATAAAAGGTTCCTAAATTGAATCACTTTCCATTGTACTTAGATCCCATAGATGCGACTTTTTTATAGTTTGAGGTGAATAATAATTAATCAATACTTCCAGTTTGGTTTGGTACAGACAATTGTTAACAATAAACTTACCAATAAAGGGAGAGAAATAAAGCAAATGTAAAAAGAAAAATATTTGGAACACTTTATTAAAATTTAATTTTTTTTTGAACTTTTTTTAAAGTACCTATGTCTTTTGACGACAGTGGCATTTGGTATTGGCTTTTGTTCTGGAACATAATATACCGGATCTGGTTTCTTTATTTCACTTTTTGCTTTCCTGTAATTTGCACGTTATTAAATATTTGTTTATAGTATTAACTGGCAGGTTTTATTATAGGTATATTAATATTATTATTTTTATGTATGGTATGTATTAGAAAAAAGGTTAGATCATAATTACCCATCTGGATGCTGGTTCCAATTAAAGACGGTTTCACGTGTTTTGGACGTTCTTAATAGAAGTTTACACGACGATCTAAAAAATAAACAAGGATAATATATATTTTACGTTTAATTTAAAGTCTTATTTTCCAACTGATCTGCATGGCATGCTGGCCTGAGTACGTTTCCTTGAGTTTCCCAGTTTTTACAAAACCATTTAAGAATTATATATAATCAATTATTTTCTATAGGTACTCCAAATGTTTTGTTTAGTACATTATATCTAGCTTTAATTCGATCGTCAAAAAGATTGTTTTAATTTTTTCGCAAAGAGAACCCAAAATCCATAGATTAGCTCATTTAACCAAAACACTTTTCAGCTTTATAATACCTGCACAGCTGATAACCTATTTGCCTATTAAGAAGAAAACTTCACGAAAGAGACACCGAAATCTGAGGCCAAGACCAAGGATTTTAGCGCAACTTTGTTGTTCAGTTTTTTCGATATCATAACAACCAATTTGTCATTTGGTGATGTGCGATATGTGTCAGCAACCGATTTTATGACTGTCTATTAAAAATAAATACGAACTCTATATTCTTCTGTATAGCACATTGTATGAGATGTCTGTTCTTCCAGACGCTGGTGTACAAGTAGGGTCCATAGCACTTCTGTGTGATGTTAGCAGTCTGACAGGCTGATATCACTCCTACCACCACGGCTCCAGTACCGTAACCCACCACTAACGGCCCGCCATGATCATTCTGAAGTCATAGTTATTATAAAACATTATTACGAGTTCCTACTGTAAGTTAGGGCAAAAACAGAATAAACAATTATTTATGGGGTGCATTAAACTTCATCGCATTTTTAAGAGTTTGAAAGGTCTTTGTAAGGAAATGTTTCTCGCTAAAACTCCTAAAATCATGTTAGCTTATACGAGTATCTTTAACACAGAGAGCCTATACAAAGTTATGAAATACCAACCTCACAAAAGCCTCCAGATATAACCTTCGAGCGCCGTGTTTCATTATGTCTTGATGTATGTACTCTGAGGGAATTTGGTTCTATAACAGAGCGTCGAGTTTCCTCGAGTTCGTCTGAGTAAACCAATTCCTTACAACTTACTCCTTGATCCTGGAAAAAATATAGTATTTAAAGTCAGAGTATTTAAACACAACCTGTTAGGAACATAATTTAAAAATACCCATATTCACGAAAAACAAATCATTTTGTATCTCTTTTTATCACAGCGTAACACAATGAGACAGGGACAATATACTGGTTTAAGTTCATAATAAATATAGATAGATGTATATATATTTACTATATCTAAATTGTAGCGTCATTATTGAACTACTCAGTGTTAGAACCACAGAAAACATTAAAGGCAGAAGAAAAGGAAGAAAAAACTTTTCAAAGCTTTTTTTATTCGATACGATCCGATGGTAGACAATTTCTCTGGAACGTGGTTGCCGATAGTTGATCAGAGGCTTAGAACTATCTAATAGATTTATTAGTAGTTATGCAAAGGTGTGTTATACACATGTGTATATACATAATGGTATATTATTCCTAATTTGAACCGAAGAAAATTAACCAAGTCCCTTTCTTATAAGTACATCTGTAAAAAAGGCCATGCAAATAGAATTAATTAATTTCTTTAAAGGAAATTAACTCTTATAAAACCTAACTAACCTTGCAAAGATCATTCATGTTGTCATCTGTGCTATCCTTAGCACAAACCATACTACCATCAATTATGTGATGATATCTCTCCGGCCATCGGTTTTTGCAGCTCTTCTTTGAGATAAGGACCACGTCCGTTTCCAACAATTCTGGGGAGTTATCTGACATTCTACCGTAAACCTGGAAGAGATGTCAGTAGACTGACTATTAAAAATATGCAATAAAAAGTTTATGCAGATTAAATAAATCTATAGTTAAAAGTTAATTAACCAATAATTAGATTAATTTCTCACTACTACTAGTTAATAAAATTGTACCCGACGGACACATTACTCTAAAAAGTACTATACTATATATATGTATAATGTATATGTCATATAATTTAATTACTTGTTAAAATTACCGCTCGATAGATTTAGTAATTTTAATTAAATTTCAGTCTTATCAGACGAAACTTCTGAGTTTCACAAACTAAACTTTATCCGAAACTTCTTCAATTTTTTTTGCATATGCTCGTAATAAAGACGCCTAAAGGTAGTTCATAGGTATGAACGGAATAGGAATTTGAGGAATTTGATTTTAATATTAAAAGCAATTTTGTTCAATATTTAATACTTGTGTGTATATTTTACATGGATTATAAAAACACCTACTAAATTAATTAATAATTGTGGTTAACCATAATATAAATTTGCTCACGTTTTTAAAGAAGTTTTGAAGAGGAGCTATTCTGAGCGATTATGGATAATATGATGATTATAACCAAACGGTAACTATAACACGCAGCGCACTCAACAGAAGAAATATTTTTAACAGTTTTGCAACTTTTTTATTGATGCTCCACTCCTATTAGTTGCATGATGTTATGGAGTCTTGTGTACATACATCACCAAAGTTATCCACGGATCCCCATGCATCATATGATGATTATAACCAAACGGTTCCGGCGTTTTCCAGCTCCTCACTCCGATTGTTGTACGATATCAATTTAGGTACGAAGTCGCACCCACGAACCCTTCTCTCAAAGTTAAAGTCATCCTCAACTCTAACCACCGCTATGTCATTAATCATCCATCTGATATTGTCAAAATGGTTGCCGTCGAAGACATAGTCTGCAGATAGAGACAACATTTAAATAACGCCAAAGCCACTTGACCAGCCACATGGTTCATGAATACTCTGACTGACTGATAATGTTATTGTTTGACATGTTTTTTTTAATTACCCATGCTTTTTACTCAGGCAAGGAACTTGGTCTCAGGTAAAATTAATAATTTTAATTATAAATAACCTCAAAAATATATTAAATTTTGTGATATGATACTGTTTTAATTTATTTTAATTATTGCATAGTACTCACTTTGTGGAACGCATTTCCAAATTGCTTTCTTTGCACCATTTCTTATACATTCATCATCGGTGTTTTTTGGGACCCACCTGTATGCGTAAAAATAATATTTTAAATCTACTGATGACAAATTTTTGCTGTTTGAAGTCAAACCCCGGTACTTCGTCACTTCTGTGTTTGTAACATGGCCTCTTTCAAAACACTCTAAGCCAAAGCAATTATTCTTCCACAAGGTATGGATCCCAGATCTCTGGCTTTCCTATCCGAACTAACAGGCAGTGTCCTATTATACCCATATAGAATATGATGCATGTGCCCCTTTCAAAATAATAATCTAACTTCCAAAGTTGATCAAAGAACTTTGTAAATGTAAAATGTAAAAGACGAACCGACTTCTTTTTTAAAATAGTCTTAATTCTTGAAAATATACCTAAAGATACACTACAGCTAGCTAATCACTTTGTACCTGTGTGTTCCTGATACAACATAAAAATGCCTGACATCTTCAATACATGCAGCGGAGGTTATTATATACTGGGCATCGACAATCACTCCACCGCACAACCAGTTTGCGTCGACTTTTGATTCTGTGGATGCAGGTCGTAGGTATACCTAAGGCAAAGTAAACACAAATTAAGAAGAAATAATAAAATAACTTTTTATGGGACAGGAGGCAATCTAAGCAACACCGCCGGGGGCTAGCGGGTGTGTTGCCAACCTTTCAGTAAATGGTACGCTCTTTTCTTGAAGGACGCTAAGACGTATCGGTTTAGAAATTCCTTTACAGGCAGCAGGTTCCACAAAGGTAGTGTGCAGAAAGTGCATTAAAAAAGAGTCTTGTGGACCACCGGACGTCGAGGTGGAAAGAATGGAATTGCATTCTACTTCGACGTCCGCCGGCGGAAGGAAAGAGGACAGATTCCGAGTTACATTGAGAGATTAAAATAAAACAACTAACTACAACCTTTTGCATTTAGCACAGTTAACACGTATCTAGTGTATATAGTTACCATATATGGTCTAGTGTCTCCCACTTCACTACCTCGGAGGATTCGTCTTGTTTGTGACAAGTGACTTATAGTGTCCAAATATGATGTATTTTGAGAAAAACCTAGAACCGAAAACGTAGAATTAAATTAATAATTAATAAGTTGGTCTCTAATTATTAACTTAGCAGACTTTTTGCAAAAATGAAGATCCAAAAATAACGTATTTTTAATATTTTAGACAATATGTCATAATGCACTTAATTGTATTTAAAATTAATCGATTGTCTCAAATAAAAAGGTTTATATATACATAAGAGCAGTATTGGCCTAGTGGCTTCAGCGTGCGACTCTCATCCCTTAGGTCGTAGGTTCAATCCCCGGCTGTGCACCAGTGGACTTTCTATGGGCACATTAAACATTTGCTCGAACGGTGAAGGAAAACATCGTGAGGAAAATTAAAAAAAAAATTGGCATTGGCAAATTATCATGAAACAGATACACAAATCTGAGGCCTAAAAAGGTCTGCACCACTGATTTTTTTTTATTTTATATATATTTACATACCAAGTTTTACACTTAATAAAAATACAAAACCCAGAAAAGATTTCATTGCAATCTTTGCCTTCGCGCTTGAGCAATATACGATTAACTGTGTAATGGGTTTTAACTTTATACGCACCTGATTATAAGAAGAAATTCCCCTTTTTTTTTTTTTTTTTTTTTTTTTTTTTTTTTTTTTTGTTTTTTTTTGTTTTTTTTTTTTTTTTTTTTTTTTTTTTTTTTTTTTTTTTTTTTTTTTTGGGGGCGGTTAACTTACCTATTTGACTACTATGACTTGGAATTAGCAAATTTGTATAAAAAAAATTAATTTTATTTTTTTTTTTATAATTAAATTTTTTATAATATACAAAAATAAGAGCCCTTCCTATTTTATTCTTCTAGACTAAGAGTCTCCCACCGCGCCCCCCCCCACCCATTTCCTATCTCTAACGATAGCCTAAAGTAAAATTGTATAGTGTAGTAACTTTAATTGTACTTTTGGTATAAACAAAACTCCGAAGCAATGTGATAAAACTACGTCTCCTTTTGTTATTTTACTGCCAACGGATCTAATAAGAATTAGTTTAGTTTTTATAGTAATAGTTGGCAGCATTTCCTTGCTGTATTGAAATATATCAGTAACTGTTATTATAATTGGTGTGTTTATTTTATTTTACTTATGTTTATTTATTTTAATTTGCCATTGCAGTTTTTATCTCCACTAAGCGCTCTAATCTAGGTTTTTAAGATCCACTAAACAGAATGGATAGAAAGTTCAATCTCCTGCAAGACCCAAACGATCTTAATATTTCTTCGGACCGCCCATCTAATTATAGGATTCTATATTTTATATATTAGTTTATTTTGTAATTTTTATCCATTACATTATGTTATATTATAACTTATAATTTATAAGCAATACGTTTGTGAATGCCATCCGCACCTATTACGAGGCCACATTTATTATAGTTTGTGTAACTTGTTCGCAATATATTTATGAAAATATTATGTATGTATACAAAAATAGTGATAAGTTTACTAGAAATGAACATACGCACAATGTTAATACACGGAACAAACGCAGGCTGCAATTTCCCCGTACTAGACTATCTAAAGTTAGTAATTCTTTTTTGGGGAAAGGGATACTCTTCTTTAATAAAATCCCAGAGGCTCTTTTATCTCTGCCTTTCAATAAATTTAAGAAATGTATTAAAGAAAGCTGTGTAAAAAGGCTTACTATAAAGTTAACGATTATCTAGTTGATAAAAGGGCCTGGGACTAGTGCTAGACAGGCTACTTCTAATTAATTTGCGATATTTGTTTAAAATAAGTGTTGTTTGATGATTTGCTGTTTTAAAAGAGTACCGAGAGTTTTTTACGCCGGCTTTTTCTCTCGGCCTACACCCTCTGTCTTCTTTGCCGATGAGTAGGGATGCCTACAAACTCAAATTTAATGACGTGGAATAAGTGATACATGTATCTTATGTTCCAAAATATACATATTTTCTTTTTATTTTCTTATGTGTGGCCGTTTTGGCGAGACTAAAAATTAATAAAACAAATTTTACATAATTAACATTAGATAGTGCTAACATGATAGTCTAAAATAGTAAGTATTCTACTCATTAATAGATGTCGTGTTATTTAACTTGTAATTTAAACATTATGACGCTAGATGGCGTGTTAATAAAATGCAGGCAGTAGATTAGTATGTTATCTACTCATTTATAGATGTCGTCAAATTAAAAATATTATCTACAGATAAAATAAATTCATATTGTAGGCATAATATTTTCTACTCATTGATAGATGTCATTACAATAAATCTTTTTTTCGAAAATAAAAATCCGAAACACTTCTATATATTTAAAAATGAACCTAAAAAATTATAAATTAAATTTTTCATGCTACCGAATATTATTATTACCATTTAAGACAAAACATCAAATATACATTGTCTTTACCAACCTCACAGTAAATTATGTATATTTGTTTCGATTTTGACAGTCATTACAAGAAAATTGGTTTACGTTTTAAGGGAAGCCCCTCATAAAGTATCATTAACTGAAACCCTTAATGGTATTATTTTCAAATAGAGGTGGTTAAACTTTAAAGGGTGACTCTTAAAAGGCAGTTTAAACATGGAGCCTATGGGTCCTTATAAAACTAATGTAATAAAATACTGCTCTAAAAAAAACATACACATACATAGTTACTTAAATGTCTATTCACCTGTTGCTTTGCTTTGTTATAACTACGAGCGGTAACTTTGTTTTTAATATACGCTGTCCAAAATAACCTGGTGTTTGATTTTTCTGGTTAGGTTTGATTTTCTCACCCACACATTATTTCGGTTGGTTTGCACATACGAACATTAGACCAGTCTTCAAAAATATAAAAAAGCTATTATAAAAGGAAATCACGGAGGACAACGGCAATGGTTAGTGTTGAGACTTAGTACGTGTGCTCAAATACATAAATGATCGCTGAGGAAGAAGTGCGAGGGGTTGAAGTTGCCACAGAAGGCTGTGTAGGCTGTAATCACTAATGAGTGTCTAAAAATATCTGTATAAAGAAATAGTTGTTGGTTTGGGCACGTATCTTTAACGATTTTGCGTGGGAGGAAGTTCGCATGTATACAAATGCAATAGGGTGAATTCTAAAAATAACTACTGTTAATTTAAGGTTTTGGCATTTAGGGATCATGTACCCGATAGATGCATAACTTTTGAGTATATCTACCTAGTCAATCTGTAGTCTTATAAATATTCCTAGTTATATTACTTTAATAGTTTGTCTCTTTCTGTTAAATTGTATTTATATTATGATGAAGAGAGAATATATTTATTAATCAAGTTTATATATAGTATAATTGTTTGCATATTGACTCTGAAGTTTTCCTATAATCCGGTCTATATCTAGGTCCGTTCGCAAAATCAACAGCTTGCTTCTAATTATATCACCATTGCTTTAAATTTACTTATCAATAATGTAGTATTTATTACTTGAATTATACAAATTTAGAGATTTTTAATTGTATTGTTATAATAATAATTTAATTATACCTAATAATAATTTATTTTTTGTATAGTTATTATAATAATAATTTATTTAAAGGTTTTAGTTAAAGAAATATGCAAAATAACACAATTGTTTATAAAAATTATATTTTTTTAAATTAAAAAAACTACTTTTAAGTTGATTGACGTATTCTCTATTTATAGGTTAAATAGAAAGTACGTGAATCAAGTGAGTAGTAACTTCTAGATCGTAAGTATTTTTTATATTACGCAGCAGCAAATAATTTAACAAAATTTCAATAGTAAGACTTCGATTATACACATTTATTCTTATTTGCTTAAATATTTCTTTATTTAAGAGAAACAGACACATAACAAATACGTATGTAACAAATACAAGTTATAACTATAACCACAATTTGAAAAATAAGTTAAAACAAATAAATAACACAAATAGCAATATACTAATAATATAAGCTTCTACAATTTGAATAATAAGTTAAAACAAATAAATAATAAAAATAGCAATATACTAATAATATGTACCTAATTAAAAATACTGCATACTATGTATTCGTAATTATCATAAAGAGTATGACAGGCGATAACTTTTTTGTGATAGAATCATACTTATAATACATTCCTCCGAATGGATTTCTTAAGATATTTTTCATTTGTTTTCCCTGACTATTCAACATGTTATAGGTTATTTTTCGATGTTTTAACCAGCGATTATACAAAAATGCCACTTAATTACATTTTTTTTATGTTACAGGAGGCTCGTCTGATGTTAAGTGATACCGATATATACACACACAACTTCATTTATACACAGATATTTTTGTCAATCAACCTCTTTCTCTTATCAATTTTTATTTTGCTTTAATATTTCCATTTTTTATCCAGAGGGTTCGCGAGTGCCTTGCCGGCATTTTAATATTTATAACGAAAGTTAGATCTATTAAACTTTCATTATTACTAGTATTTAATTTTAATTTAATAATAGAATATAATATGTTTTTGCATGTGTCATAGAAAATGCAGATTCACAAAGCACAGAACACTATATGACCAAAATTATACAACTGAGAAGTTTCTATATCGAAGTCGAATTATTGGTAACGCGCGTAACATTGTGCTATGACTGAATTAACACAGATTAAAACATGGAACACAGCCAGTAAATAAGAGACCGAAATTAAATATTTTTGTATGTTGTTTTGTTTATTCAAATAATTTTTCCCCAACACGCTGGCCGGCCTCACCGGGCGGTGCAGGAAGATTACTTGAGCCAGTCTAGGTCTAGCAGGTCGGTCTAGTTACCACTGGATCGATGGAGCGGAAATCCTGCTGAAAGACAGCAATTAGACGCCAGCAGCCAGCAGACTGCCAGGACAGGGAGTTTTCCTATCGGAGGCGAAGATTTTGGGTAGCAGAGCTAGCGGAGTGAGTAGGTATAGTCATATCTTTATATGTATATATATATAAATATATATATAAACTAGTGGACCCCACAGACGTTGTCCTGCATGATATTTAAAGCGATTAGGAAAGTATGAAAGTACCGACTGCAGTGCCATCTGCCGGGCTGATTTGTGAATCTAAACCATTCCCACATCCCCTTGAACACACACAAAAAATTTCATCAAAATCGGTCCAGTCGTTTGAGAGGAGTTCAGTCACATACACACGCATAGAAGAAATATATATATTAAGATGACTTAGTAGTAAAAGGCTTATTAGTTAGTGTCACTGATAACTACTGCTGTCAAACTTTAGTCATGCAATTTAATAAAAGCATTTAGGTATTTCCGTAAAAGTAATATATTATGTAAACTAATAACTTATGTAACCTGCTTTTTTATATTTTTGTATAAGGTACCGAAGTGTAAATAAATAAACATATTCAACTACCTTTTGAAAGGGGCAACTAGTAATTTTTTTAAATATTTTTATCTTGTAATTTTGAACAAACAGTGTACACTTACAAAAGTGCCTTTTAAAAGGCCTAATTGAAATAAATGATTTGACTTGACAGATTATTTTACATGCTAAACCAATTTCAATCAAAATTACAGGTACTAATTAAGAGGCCCCAGTAAAATCCCAGATATACCGGAACCTCTTGAACGTGTACTTGTAGAAACTACTCGAGGTAGTTTTAGTGGGTATTGCCCACCCAGCCTCTGAATAGCAGACTGGTGAGGGTGAATTCCCGTGCTATCTTATAAATTTCCACCGCGGATATTAAAAAAGGCCCTTATTATGTGTAAAATCAGGCGTCAGCTAAGATTTAATCAAAACAATGCATTCACTAGATATATTATTAACAACGCGTCAAACAATTCATCAATAAAATCCAATATGGCTGTCCAATGTTCATTTTAAATTGAACAATAAGCATTCATGTACAGTGTCTATCGTTCCTATCCTTAAGCTGTCAAAGCCAATAGAATAAAACAGTTATCTTCACAATACATTATTACTTATCTCAATAACATGAAACCTGGGCCCTATTTTATTATAAAGTGCATTGTCTATAGCCCACTCGACCGCCGAACGTAAATAATTTAACTGTCTTAAAAGATTCAAAAATAGTTTCTAACATTGCCCCCCTAATATGTACACCATTTGTCAGGCCATAAGTCCATAACTGGATTTAAACTGCGCTTTCGAGACCACGCCTACAAGTATATATAACCGTCTCTGTTTAATATACCCGTATGGACACATTTAGCATATACGCGTCTCGCTCTACCAAATAATCGACAATGTGTTTAGTTTCAATCTACCAGGACAACAAGGGTGTAAGTAAACTATTGTACATTATGAAATTAAGCTTTATGTTGTTGTAATAACGTTCTTTTTTCTTAGTCAAATGGGCTAAGGGGTGATGTGGGAACGGGACAGAAAAGGACAGAATGACTGCGTTAAAGTTACTGAGTCCAAACGAGTTTTTATGTTTGGAAATCGTATTAAGCTTTTGTCGGAAACTGTTCCACTCAACGGGCATAGTTGAGTTGCGGACAAACTATCGTTTGAAGAGGTGGGGCTGATTGGCTCATTCTGTCATTGCGCGCGAATCGAGTGTTCGGAATTCAAACATTGTCAATTGTGTTCGAAATTTGAAATGTTTTTGTGAACAATAGTGCAAGTGTTCCAAAATGTCGTCGTTACATTCTGATGATGATCAGGAGGAGATAAATGTAGATTCTGACAGCAGACTTTCCGGCCAGTGCGACAGAAGTGGTTCCGAAGACCATGATTCTGACTACCACGACAGATACCGCGACTCACCCCATATCACCGAAACCCAGCCGCGGGTCAACTTACCATTTAGCATATCAAGACTATTAGGAAAACAATTTGACATAGAAAAACGAAATTCTGGTGAGAGTGACGAAAGAAGTGATCAGGACACTGAGTCTGAAAGTGCCAGGGATGATGGGAAGGACAATTTAGCTTTGAATTTCGCCCATAACCCTATGTATACGAACTCTGGGTTATTGTTACGGCCTGGGTTAGGTATTGGTGGTGGGTATGGGTTTTCCAGCAACCCAGGGGTTGTGAGGGTGCCAGCGCATAGAGCCTTGGGTGCGTTGGGGGCTTGGGGGGTGGCTCTGGATCCTATGAGGCAGGCAGCCGCCGCGGCCTTTGCACACCAAGTTGTTAAGGATAGATTAAATGGTGAGTAACATTTTCATAAAATATGAAATATTTTTTTTAATCGCATAGAACTGTCACCTTCAATCATAAGATGCAGGCAAACACCCGACTGAAAAAAAATTTAATGTAGTATTTTGTACCTATAATAAGCCAGCGTATAAACTTTTAATTATCTGAATTAAGATGATGGCAATTTATAAATATACAATTTAGCCAAAAATAAAATCGTGTTGTGTTCTGAAAAAAATGCGAACATAGTAATCTTTTTTTCCATTCTATGAAATGGCAACATTAAGTAGCGCCTAAACTTTATTGACTTGTTCTTACATATCTAAGCATTAATATATTGAATATTGGAATAGGTACGCACCAGTATGTAACCTGTTATGTTAAGTAATTTATCATTCAAATAAAAAAAAATTATACAACATAAAAAAAGCTCTTTTACTTAGGCTCCTGACAACTAAACTAATACAATAATAAATCGCAAATGCAAAGAAATTATCTTTCTCATAATGTCAAACGTAAAGCTTTTAAATTTCGAATTGTAATCTCAAACCGATAAATCACTTTAAGTATGCACCTATGTAAATCTGTGACCGAATACAGATTAAAAACAAACTTTTTTTTTAATCCTTTGAAAAGTGGCAATGTCCGGAATTATCTGTTGCGTGTGTCACTATCGAAGGACTGTTTTTTGGGTAAACTAGAATTTTTTGCCGTTTTTGTATCCTCTCGAGACGCCTACGTTATAATTTGTCGCGCCGAGAGTCGCAAGGGTAATTTAGAACTTTTTTTCAAAGGAAAAAATGTTTTTAGCGTGTAAGTAGCTAATCGGTGTTGGCATGGCAAACACAGTAATATGTCGTAATTTTTTCATTGAATATAGCCGCGTAGCAATTAACTAGGTATTAAAATGGTTTAAGATTATTTAAGGAATAACACTAGGTATATATGTGCTATTTGTCTAATCGCTAGTGGGTAAGTAGCATTAATACATATGAACAAAGATAAGTAATAGGTACAATAACCTACAGTAGCTATCTATGGTTTTTGTTTCATGTCATTTCGCTAACAAATTAACGATACAAAACTGTAATTATTTAAAGTTTTAATAACTAAAAGAGTAAGACCATAAAAGTATAAACCGATTCTAATCTACACAAACGATTGTATTTTTAGCCATTATCACAGTCAAAATCGTTTTTTTTTGCGAATCTCGACACGTGTAGACCTCCCGTGTTGTTTTTTCGACCGCAACGGAAGTGCGGACGCCTGTAATTGAGATAGTTGCGTGAATTGGCAACACTGGACACGGAACTCCTTTGTCATCTTAGCGCCAATAATTTGACATTTGAAATAAGAACATCCGCTCCGATGATTTACTTTTTTGTAGGCTGTCAATGACACCTCTATTTTTTCTTTTATACCTTTTTGAACTTTGGGTTTTAACACACTGCAAAATGTTTGATAGGTTAGGTATATAGTAATAGACTTTTATCAAATACCTAGAATTGAACCAAAACGTTTATATTTTATTTAAATCCAAACGCTCGCAATTAACTAATTTATTCACTATATTTTAAAGTACCTTGCTCTATATAATTACGCGAATTTTTAAGAACTTCCGGAATTCTTATCAGATTTATTATTGAACTATAGAATTTATGTTTGACAGCTCAAGTATAGCATATATTATAATGAATTGGTCAATCCAACATCGCTTGTTTTATGTTATTTTATAGTTTTATTGCCACTTCTCACAATCTACAGGGTCGTGCACCTTTACATAATCGTTTGTCAGTCTATAATCTGTGGTACAAGAAAATTGTGTTATCTGGAGCGTATCTAAACAGACTGCTTAGGTTCCGTTTGCGGTCACTTAGCTGCTCAACACGAAAGTGCTAACTGACTTGGTTAGACGCTTTTTATATTTTAACAATGAAATATTGCGACTTGTAGAAAATAATAAAAGGAGACACTTATACTAGTAATTTCTTAATTGTGTGTGACACAAGACAGCACGTTCAAGCGGCGAGGGCTTCTCTGATACAGTGGTGGAACTCCAGGTTTAGGTAGATATAGGTCACTTAGTACACATCCTGGAGAGACCAATCCCATATATTTCTGTGTCACTGTTTGCGGGGATTCACTGAAGCACTGGTTTTGCCACTTACATTAGTGCATTTTTAGTTTACTACATTTTCGTGTATAAAAGATGGATGCAGCTCCTAATTATTATCTATCATTGCCAAGAAGTAGCTATAGTTCCTTTATCGTGTTATGATATATTACCAGAGAGAAGGCAATGAAAGAGTCCAATAAACCGAGATGTCTTTGAACGTAAAATATTGCAAAAGAGAATTTGAATAATGATTTCGTCCATTATAAAACGTAAACATCAGTTCAATCAACTTTAGGCGTATAATAAAAATTGCTTTAGTTTTGAAATCAATGGAGAGTGTAATAAGCAGTGTAATGGTTATCGTTTCCTGTTACAGACCGCACTACTTAATAGTCTTTATCATACAATTTACAATAGAAACATTTTGCTCGACAAGTTTAAAACACTGGCCGCGCAAGATCATCTGAATATTCTGTAATATTCTCGTATTGCGGCTCCAGCGATTTTGTGGCTGGTTATTTTTATACAAGTCGCGTTATGATTCTGTAAACATCATAACTATTTATTGTTATGATGGCGTATGAAAATAAAGTCTATTTATTAAAAAAATATTAACTATTACTACCTAACTTAACCTGAACAATAATAATTCAAATGGTTAATTTGTGACAGCTCCCGAATCTACCGTAATTATACAGTTAGTCCACCCTTCGTTTTTAAGACATGCATTTTATGTAAGCGGCGGCAACTTCGGTGCATAAAGGCTCATCTGTTGTTACAGTGACACCGCCGATTTCCATATACACTCTAGGGGTAAGGCAGACAAGACCACGGATAGTGCGTTGCCTGCATTCGGTTTTGGGTACTTCTCTTTTTTTGAAAAAGGTCATGCGCCATCATAACAACACTAGTTATGGTACTGAGAACTCATGACGAAGTCCTTAAAAGACCAGCTGCTCAAAGTCGCTGGTGCCGCGATACGGAATACTTACCGAATTTCTTTCTTTTAGTGACATTTGCCACATCTGGAATAGGCAGGTCAGCTGGTCAGCCTCCTTATTCTTCGCCAAACGTCATCAGCTTATTAGTTAGGTAACCTATATACCTGAAACCCGTATTATTATTTTTTTTCAAAGAACTCCACCAGTTTGACCTGATGCCCCATGCTAAGCTAGGTGAAGCTTGTATTATGGGAACTAGGAGCCAACGGATATACATACATATTATAGATAGACATAGATATAAATACTTATTTAAACACCTAAGACCTAAGCACAACACCAAATGCTCAGCACATCGTGTTCGTCTCAGCCGGGGACGAACCCGGGACCCATGGATTCGCAGTCTGGGTACAACAAGACCAATGAGTCGTCATTTATTCGCATAGTTAATTTAGCTAATTTATGAAATATATATTTATTTAAGCTGCCAATCACCAAATCCAAATGGTTAATATTGTGTTAGTTACACAATTGTCCTTAATTTTATATTAGTAGTTCGTTTGTTATATGCATATTTATGTAGCAGGAGGCAAACCTTCAGGAGGCTCGTACCTAAGGATGTAAAGTGACGCCGCCGACCATGGAAACTCACGAGCCAGAAGGCAGGTAAGTGCTGTTGCCGGACTTTCATGATTTGGGTACACTCTATTGCAATTGAAGGACCGTAAGCGAATTAGTTTAAAATTACTGATTGAGCAGCTGGTTCCACATCAGTGGTGATGCGCAGCAATGAACTGTTTGGTTGAAATTAAATGTCGATAAATGACTTTGTCAATGGAAAGTAAAGCTGATCAGGTTCCCTCCTTGCCTGACACACGTCGTCGACTGAATGGGTCTAAGGCAACCCGGTTTTCTCACGATGATATCCTCCACCAGTTTGAGTGAATGTTAAATGTTAAATGGGAAGAGGTAAGGATTTGCAAAGAAAGAAATGCAGTTTACCTTTGACCTGTAGGTATAAAGATTGCACTCTGAAGAATACTAGCCATCTTGGTTACATACAGCATTTTAATGCTTGCTAAAAAAAATTTAAGTACGTGCTTTATATTAAAGAAGATGATATTATTTGAATCGAGAGATCACAAGTCTTGAAATCATTTCGGTGCGGTTACAATTTCAAGCTAAGCAATTACAATTACATAAAAAATATTATTACAGTATCTCTGGATAGTTTAGAATTAAAACTCGCATCACCTGTATATATGTTGAAAATCATTAATTGTTATGTTTCTATATTTTTTATAATCAGTCAATTTACATTACATTTTACCTTCCTTAAGAATCAGTACATTTTCAGTAGTCTATGAGATTTTTAATTTACAAAAACAAAATAACATATTTTTTAAATATTGGTACTTACATAGAACTCCACTTAATAGCATTAACTAAGACTTATTAATATACAACTCTGAGTAGGTCCGTCAACAGACTACCTATAGCAGATCAAAACTCATCACACAAAATTGACTTATTACAATACAAACATAGACAAAAGAACTTGAATTGCGGTTTTACAATTTCAATCTAAAATAAACTTTAATGCAGTGAAATTAAAGTATATTTCACGTTGCCCAGTTTTAAGGCAGAACTATTTTGTAATATAATAAAATCCGTTTCAATTCGCAGCCGACACGATTTGTAATTACGAGTAAGTAGGTCGGGTTTTTTTTTAATTATATATAAATAGTCACATCATTGATAAGTGTCTTGAACCAAAATAAAAAATTTAAAGAATGGTTTCAACTTTCACATTATATCTTAAAGAATTGTTACATATAAGAGTTAGGTATAGACTATAGAGTATAGACTATAGAACAACATACACAACATTCAACGACCCCTAGTGTCCTAAAATTTAATTTAAAAGACAACAGAAGTCCTTATAACTAAATCTTAACGTTCA